TTTAATTTCTTACACATAAAAGATCCTGCAGATTTACTGGCCAACAACATGAATACCCTCACAGAATGTATATATGAATTGGCAAAGAAGTGGCTAGAAGTGAAAACCTGAATAGTATTATACCATATGTTTGCAGTGAAAATACAGAAGACTGAACTCTCTGATGACTGATTCTGACCTCTGAACTTGACTTAACCTCAAGAAGACAGACAGACAGACAGACAGACAGACCCACGCACATTGCATCAATTATTCTCTGAAAAAAAATGAAAAAAAATCCAGATTTCTTTGACAAGTGCTCACAAATTCTAGAAATCAGGAGATTCTTCGAGTTATAGGAGTATGATTGACGAGGTTCCCCTGCCTGTGCAGTGTTCAACGGCAGTAAATATAGATCTACAAATAACATGGTGCAGGCTTCAAAGCCTGACAATGGTAGAAAAGATGGGTTTTATCACAACAAAAGTAGTAGATAAATGCATAGCTCATACACGAAAACTTCAAAAAGCATTACCGACGAGTAGAAAACAGCTGTCCCGTAAGTAGCGAGGTTTGAGCCAGCTATGGTGTGTAAATATATAGACATGGTCATGGCGATATACGTATGTACAATAAAGCTGAATGTCATGTTACAATGCGACTGTACAGTTGTCCTAAACAAACTATACACCGCATAAATACGTAATGAGATATCTACAGGTAAAATTGTGTTCAATGATCGGCCCACTACACCTTAAAACTGTGTCGGTCAGGACTCTCAATTCACAAGGCCGTGGCACAGATCCCAAACGGTGTGCCACACCCCCATGTCCCATCCCAAGCAAACGGGACGCGGCCCAAATCATCACCCAATGGTCTGTTTATATGAATGACACATACTTTTTCACGTATAGGGAACATGGGGGTGGGGATCTGTGACATGGCCCTGTATCCCAAAGTTACAGCAATCTTGCTGTAAATAACCAGAGAATCTGTAACAATCTAAGTGTGTAAATGTTGACTGACACAGGACATTGACAACAATACTAATAGTTGTACATCAAACATCATTTTCTTATTGCAGTCATGAAGTGTACTGAAACCGACTAACAGTTCATGTTTTAAATATGAAATGCAAAACGCTGCTGCGGTGATCATGGGATGGTAATGGTGCCCCTAGGCATCTTTACTCATTCACCCCTGAAGACACATTTGAACTCCTCCAATTCAAAGGTTGGAATAGTCTTCTATGAAGTTTCAGGGGTGAATGAGTAAATATATATAATTATATTATATATAGAAATTATCTCCTGCAGGATTACCTAATAACAGGCCTTCCCAAACGACAACTTGCTTTTTTCTCTGGCTAAATTTCAATACTGCACAAAACAAACAACTTGTTGTTTATTTTCTCTTGTACTAATTTGTAATCACCCCAATCTATATCTTGTCATTTATTTCTCAAGCAACGATTCGTTACTGCCCTAAACAACAACCTGTAGTACATTCACTGACATTCTTTTATTTCTCTGCAGTAATTCATTTTTAGTATAATGAAATATTTTTCAACAAAAAAATTGAACACATTCCCCTATGATTAATCAACAAATGATCTAATATGTTCGCAGGAAATTGAATATCCACCAAAATATAAATCAATCATTGGTATTTACAAATCAGCAGACTTTGGTTGCTATGACGTTCATATGCATTTAATTTTGTGGTAAACATCAGCTCATTCACCCCTGAAATTTCATAATGAACTATTCCAACCATTGAATTGGAAGAGTTCAAATGTGTCCTCAGGGGTGAATGATTTAATTAAACAATTTAGGCTACAAAGATTTTAAATCAATCTCTACAAGCACATAAAATACATCATAAAAGAAACAAAACACATATCATCACCAGAAAGCGCTAAAATATCCAAAAGAAAGTTTTGCAAAATAATCTGTTTGTCAACACAGAATCAAACATCTTTGGTCGAAATTATGTCATGGATATTAAAAATGACTTTAAGAGAAGATATGCAAATATTAAAAATCTGTCAATGTCTCGGATTCACTCCCCACTAGTAGTATGTATTTGCAGTTCCCATCTTACGAAATACTTTCTGTTGCAGAGAAAATCTGCAATTATTAAAAATCTGTCAATAATGTGATAACACTTTATTTGCAGTACCTATCTTACGAAATGCTTCCTGTTGTTATTATAGTAAAATCAATACCGGATATTAATCATCATCTCTAAGGGTCACGTTCGTTGTTGAAGGCAACTGTCTATATGTAAGCAAACCAAAAGCAAGGATTTTGTCGTTACCTCAACATAGTTATTTTATCTGTTTAAAAACAGAAATGCAAAGCCTTCGTTAAAATATCTAAAAGACTTTTTTGGAACCATTTTTCGAAATATCATGCAATTAAACAATTGTTTGTTTGACAAGTTTCTGTAAAAAAAAAAGTATCCAGCTTCCTCTCAGTCTTCCGATATTTGTAAATCATAAAGTAATCCCAGATCATGCGATTAATTCTTCATCCTTAGCAAAAATAAATCGGACAAAATAAAAAATCCACCCTCCTCTTGTTACATGTAATTACTTCCTGTATAAGTAAATTGTACAGTTACCCAGACCGTGTGTCCTTTTTCTTGATCCCCAGCAATAACACATCCAACGAAATTCTTCCGTGTTATATCGTTATGAAATTGAAGCTACCTACCATGACTAGAGACGTAAATAAATGAATGTGATATCGTATCCCTATGGGTAAATATAAACTCAACACAATAATTGTTGACGTTGGGTAAAGACACTATATTAATTATTATTTCTAATTATTGCCAGCAGTATAGCTGTCCTATGGACTGTTTCGTATGTCATTAACATCAATAAAAAAATGTTTCAAAATCTCATTAAAATGTATCAAAGACAACATAACACATGACATTTAAAAGGAATCGCAGAGTGAAAACAGAATCTTGTTAAAATAGGGTTAGAGGTCTGTGTTTGGTGTTAACAATCAGCCAGCATAAGATTGGTGTGACTTCATCAGAATCCTGGTCTCCACGAAAAAAATATTAACGCATTCACCCCTGAAGATACATTTGAACCCTTCTCCCATTCAAAGGTTGGAAAATTTCATTATGGAATTTCAGGGGTGAATGAGTTAAAGCTATCCTTTTTATAATATTCCAGGGTCATGAATTCATTAGGGTCACATTCGCGTATCCCGGTAGAAACGGTTAAGGTGGCACAGAAATATTCCGCTATAAACGAACGCACTTGGACCGAATTGTAGGCAGAGCTAAAAAAAAATGCACAGTTTCAGAGAATAAATAATAATATATCAATAATAACATGTCCTTCTTTCAAGCGTTCAATAAATTCTATAACATATCTTAAAACATACATGTGGATTGACCTTGTCTTATACAGAAATAACGCAAAATAGCGACAACAAGCTTTTGAAGTTCCAGTCAGACATGTCTGGACCCCTTGATATACTCGTGCCTAACATTCCTGCGGTCAGCCTCTGTTCAGATCTTAGCCTGTTAATTTCTTTCAAGTTCAACTGGTTTCAGCTGGTTGAACTGGATATGCGTAAGGATTCCTGATTTGCACATTAAATCAAACAAGATTTCATTAGCTGCAGATATGAAACCAAGAGTGGTATAAAAAAAGAAATAAAAAAACTACTGTATAAAACTTTTTCAATTGTGTGGAATTAAAACAATAATAAAAAAAGAAAGATTGACTTTTTTTTTTTATATCAATCCACATGCGACCCTGTGTGATAATACTAAAACTGAGAATATTTTCTCAGGGTTTACACAACATTTACATTTCTAGCTATTAAATTAATTTGATACACACATTAGGGAGTAAAAGGACTGTCGCATCAGAATCATACAAATTAGAAGCGACACTGCAGCACAACTGTGTAGGGACATGCACATGACTGGTATATACACATGTATGTACAGTGGGCAGAAAAGAAAAAAAATCCGTTTGAGGAAGGTAGATAACTCTACACCAGGGGACATAACTCTATGGCTATTTACAAAGGTGAGTGAATATGAGAGCTAATACACATATACACCAAATATCTACAATAAAACTGGTTTCCTTTACAATGATTAAAAATAATCACACTGCCTTATTGTACCGATACATTATTTATACATACGTTATTAACTACACAGAGACAACGTTAATTAATTATGATTATAATTACATAAAATTGACGCAAAAATGTCACATTAATGTATGTAGTAAAATAATAAATAGTATGATGTTGTGCAAGTTATAAACATTTGATCCCACTGTGAAAAACAGTCAGATTACAAGTAGCCCTTGTTTACCATACATATCCATACACTGAGCCACCCATACACACAACTNCAATTTAGTAAGCCTCTGGCGAGCTAAAATGAAAATTCGTGATGGGTTTCATAAATTTCATTTCATTATTAAAAACTTATATAACATAGATATATAAGTGCGGTTTATGAGCTAAGACAAGTCTAGTTTTGTCATGCGCTATACTGGTTTCTATATATATATATGTAAGTAAAATACGAGCGCTGATTGGTCAGTCCAGTCACATGATTGGTCAAGCAAGTGTACGAGCGCCGATTGGTCAGTCTGGTCACATGAGTGGTCACAGTTTTCAGCAACTTTCAGCATCTCGGAGTTTATTTTTGCGCCAACAAAATTTGCTATTCCGCCACCGTCCCCACCACACGACCATTGCAGGTGATGCCTGGGGTTATATCAGCTGTTAGACTAAGGCTTATTAAGTGAGTAAACACTTGCCAGCTGTTTGCGAGCATTATACCGGATAAATCGTACCTGCCCCCTTCCTTATCAAGGGAGTTAGGGTGAGGCACCCCGCTCTGCAGCAAATTTGATCAAGGGGTAAATTACCTTATTGATACATTCTGAACTTCTAGACTATACGTACACGTACAGGGCATTTTACATCATAATGTAATTTGTAAGTCCCCCAAGAATTTCATTCATGCTAATAATACGTATACAGTGCTTCCTTCAAGTCACTTGACTCTGCCATCTACAAATGATATGCACACCTTGATTTTATTATGCCTAACAGATGGCCGGGTCAAATCTTGAAGAGTAGTTTACATACACCACAGCTGTTATGTTTAATAAAATTCATGTGATAATTTTATTCGTAATCTGCCTTCGAATCTTTTGTTTATAAAGTGAGCCTCTGGCGAGCTAAAATGAAAATTTGTGATGGGTTTCATAAATTTCATATGAAATGAAAACGTGTGTAAGATCCATTTTATCACATAATCAAGATTTGTGTCATTTACTCGTGAAACTGGACAATTTTCGAAGGTCTGTGACGTCATGTTCTTGTCCTAGGCGTGACGTCACAATTGAAACAATTNAAATTTAGTGAGCCTCTGGCGAGCTAAAATGAAAAATTCGTGATGGGTTTCATCAATTTCATATGAAATGAAAACGTGTGTAAGATCCTTTTTATCACATAATCAAGATTTGTGTCATTTACTCGTGAAACTGGACAATTTTCGTGCAACCTCGAAATGTAAAAAGCTGCCATTTTGACTCAGTGCGAAAGTCTGTGACGTCATGTTCTTGTCCTAGGCATGACGTCACAATTGAAACAATCGAAACTAACAGCCAATTACAGGGCCAATAGGTCATATTACATGGGTTAATACGCAAACAAATATGACATGGGTATATTCACTGGATAACACAGTCTATCATGTGATAAAATAATACTACATTTATACCATAAGAATCAAGACGGAAGAACTGTAAGTAACACAAGATGAAAAGGGTCTGATCGTAAAAATTATGTACAAACTGATACCTCAAAGAAAGCGTTTTCATCTGATCTCTTCGGCGCTCCTTGCACATTTTTGATCGGCTGTATTGACAGGATGTCCAATAATTCAATGTACCCTTTACAACTTGAATCTTCCATGGCGTCGTAATACCTCAGCTGTCAAAAACAATAGTACAGGTTTCAAAATGTAATACAATGTACTAGTACATAGTATATATTGTGAAACCATCAACTTTCATTTGGTTTTCAATTTTCTCGATTTTGTGGGTAATTTTCATCCAAGAATTCATCGGTCCAAAAAGTAATTACAGATTTGACACAAAGCTATTCAACAAATTCATGTACACGCAAAATGGTGTTTTGTCTGGAAACCTCGAAATTTGGGGCCCACGAAAATATCTGAATTCACAGTGTATCAGAATACTTCAGATGTTAAAAAGTTAGTAGAGGATTCAAAATATAACACTTGTATGTACAGCATTATCTGTTAGTAAGCCCGTGTCAGGTAATAAGTCCAGCCACTAAATGCTATTTCATTGTCCTGCGAAATTCTCCATCTCCCTACTACAGGTCAGGAACAAGAAGACGCTGTCATCGATATCCCCCGCTCGCAGTGTAAAAGTCATTAAAAACATGAAGCGTAAAATATAGGTCAAATCAGCATCCACAATATGCATTCAGTAGAGCAGCCCCAGATAAACAATTAATGCAAGTATAATCAACATAGCACTTGTAGTAGGCAAGATATAGATGAGAGCAATTCTTCTTAACCTTACATGAAGATAAGAGCAATTCTTCTTAACCCAGGCAATGAAGTGTAAAATATAGGTCAAAATCAGCATCCACAATATGCATTCAGTAGAGCAACCCCAGATAAACAATTAATGCAAGTATAATCAACATAGCACTTGTAGTAGACAAGCTATAGATGAGAGCGATTCTTAACCAGCTGCACAGATGGACAGACGGACCCCATGCTATATCTCTGCCATCCCGTTGGGCTCTCTGGGTAAATTTGGTATGTATCATAACTAGAACACTGACAGGTCAGTAAGGGCCCCGTATTGTTGCAGTATATCCCCCATATTCATCAAGAAACAATCTGCCCATATAGCTGAGCTTGACGTTTGACATTTGGACTTCAAAAAGAATCGCAAGGAAGCAAAATATACATTTTACATGTACTATGATGCGAGTCTTGTTTCCTTCCACCTCCATATTTGCTGGGCTAACAGAAATGTAAATACCGGTGCAATACTCATTTGTTAGCTTTGATTTGTTTTATTTCACCTTATATACCTCCTCCATTAAGAGCCAGGGTCAAAGTCAGAGATCCACTTTGTCTTTGACCTTTGGACCTAAATGACCTTGACCATTAATCCAGTGACCCTGATCTTTGGTCAGTTGAATTATTTTTTAATTCTGACCAACTTTGCTTCTTAATATCATACAAAAATGTTAATCAGTGAAAAATTCAAAACTGGACCTTGACCCTTTGGACCCCGTAACCTGGACCTAAGGTCAGTTGACTCTGTGTTAAGTTCTGAACAACATTGCTTCATAATGTCATAACAAAATGTTCATCAGGGAAAAGGTACAAAATTTAACCTTGACCTTTGACCCAGTGACCTTGATCTTTGGTCAATTGACTCCTTGTTTAATTCTGATCAAATTTGCTTCTTCATGTCATAACAAAATGTTCATCAGTGAAAAGATGCAAAATTTGACCATGACCTTTGATTTTTATGACCTTGACCTTTGACCTCAGTGTGTCTCTTTGTTAAATTCCGAACAACTTTGCTTCATAATGTCATAGCGAAATGTTCGCCAGTGAAAAGCAACAAAATTTGACCTTGACCCCTGACCCGATGACCTTGACCTTTGATCAGTTGACTCCTTGTTTAATTCTAATCAACTTTGCCTCATAATGTCATAACAAAATGTTCATCAGTGAAAAAATGTAAAATTTGACCTTGACCTTTGAACCTAATGATCTTGACCTTTGACCTTGACTTTTTACCTCAATGTGTATTTTTGTGAACTGAACATCTTGACCAAGTTTCATGTACATCGGTCAATAAATACCAAAGTTATCAGCCAGGAACAAAATTTGTGGACGGACAGACAGACAGACAGACAGACAGAGTGATTACTAAAGGGATACGGGGCCCTAATAACTCAGCTCTTAAAACACAGCAGTGGTATATTGCATCTTTTTGTAAGAATGATTCTGCATTTTTAACTCATTCATCCCTGAAGACACATTTGAACTCGTCAAATTCAAAGATTGGAATAGTTCATTATGAAATATCCGGGTTTATTTCTTTGCTAAAACCACACAGTTTGTAACTTCCCCAAGCCAGTAAAGTTGAGATTAACCTGATGTTTTGTAGAGTCAAGGACAAACCAGCGCTGTTTCCATCCCTTGAGCAGGGCGCCTCGTTTGTATAGGTATCCCTCATATGTCTGTTGTTCCCCGCTCCCAGACGACATCTGTTCAAACCCTGGGGTACTACTGGGTACTGTTGTCACTGGAATACACAAATCGTAAAGTTGAAAGGTGCTCATGAAAGCAACAACCCATCTTAAATACGGCTTCAAAAGGTATGTTTTACCCTTCTTTGACCTTCAAGACTCAGTTTTCCTGTTCTAAGTTGAATTTGTGATTAAATTCAAAATAATATTCATTCTCCTATTAGTTCAAACATTTATATTCTCTTAATTATAATAACAGAGATGTCTAATGGTTCTGGTCCATTTACATCCATTTTTAAGCTTAAACTCATTTATCCCTGAAATTTCATAATGAACTATTCCAACCTTTGAATTGGAAGAGTTTAAATGTGTCTTCAGGGGTGAATGAGTTGAGAAGATAATTTTGAACTTGTATTATATATTAACCTAAGCTGAACTACAGTCAGATACTCACCCCCTGTGACAGACCCGGACTCGGAGCCCCCTGTGACAGACCCAGATACTCACCCCCTGCGACAGACCCAGATTCGGTGCCCCCTGTGACAGACCCAGATACTCACCCCCTGTGACAGACCCGGACTCGTGGCCCCCTGTGACAGACCCAGATACTCACCCCCTGTAACAGAACCGGACTTGGAGCCCCCTGTGACAGACCCAGATACTCACCCCCTGTGACAGACCCAGACTCGGAGCCCCCTGTGACAGACCCAGATACTCATCCCCTGTGACAGACCCAGATACTCACCCCCTTTGATAGACCTGGACGCGGAGCCCCCTGTGACAGACCCGGACACGGAGCCCCCTGTGACAGATCCGGATACTCATCCCCTGTGACAGACCCGGACTCGGAGCCCCCTGTGACAGATCCGGATACTCGTCCCCTGTGACAGACCCGGACACGGAGCCCCCTGCGACAGATCCGGATACTCATCCCCTGTGACAGACCCGGACACGGAGCCCCCTGCGACAGATCCGGATACTCATCCCCTGTGACAGACCCGGACACGGAGCCCCCTGCGACAGACCCCGATACTCACCCCCCGTGACAGACCCAGATACTCCCCCCCTGTGACAGACCCAGTTACTCACCCCCTGTGACAAACCCGGACTCGGGGCCCCCTTTGACAGATCCAGATACTTACCCCCTGTGACCGACCCAGACACTCACCCCCCGTCACCCACCCCGATACTCACCCCCCGTGACAGACCCAGACTCGGCGCCCCCTGTGACAGACCCAGTTACTCACCCCCTGTGACAGACCCAAATACTCACCCCCTTTGATAGACCTGGACGCGGAGCCCCCTGTGACAGATCCTGATACTCATCCCCTGTGACAGACCCGGATACTCACCCCCTGTGACAGACCCGGACACGGAGCCCCCTGCGACAGATCCGGATACTCATCCCCTGTGACAGACCCAGACTCGGCGCCCCCCGTGACAGACCAAGATACTCACCCCCGTGACAGACCCGGACACGGAGCCCCCTGCGACAGATCCGGATACTCATCCCCTGTGACAGACCCGGACACGGAGCCCCCTGCGACAGACCCCGATACTCACCCCCCGTGACAGACCCAGATACTCGCCCCCTGTGACAGACCCAGCTACTCATCCCCTGTGACAGACCCGGACTCCGCTCCCCCTGTGACAGACCAAGATCCTCACCCCCGTGACAGACCCGGACACGGAGCCCCCTGTGACAGATCCTGATACTCATCCCCTGTGACAGACCCGGATACTCACCCCCTGTGACAGGCCCAGATACTTACCCCCTGTGACAGACCCGGTCTCGGAGCCCCCTGTGACAGATCCAGATACTCACCCCCCGTGACAGACCCAGACTCAGAGCCCCCCGTGACAGACCAAGATACTCACCCCCGTGACAGACCCGGACACGGAGCCCCCTGCGACAGACCCCGATACTCACCCCCCGTGACAGACCCAGATACTCCCCCCCTGTGACAGACCCAGCTACTCATCCCCTGTGACAGACCCGGATACTCACCCCCTGTGACTGACCCAGATACTCACCCCCAGTGACAGACCCAGATCCTCACCCCCTGTAACAGAACCGGACTTGGAGCCCCCTGTGACAGACCAAAATACTCACCCCCTGTGACACACCCAGACTCCCTCCCCCTGTGACAGACCCAGACTCAGAGCCCCCTGTGCCAGACCCAGATACTCACCCTGTAACAGAACCGGACTTGGAGCCCCCTGTGACAGACCCAGCTACTCATCCCCTGTGACAGACCCAGATGCTCGCCCCCTGTGACAGACCCAAATACTCACCCCCTTTGATAGACCTGGACGCGGAGCCCCCTGTGACAGACCCAAATACTCACCCCCTTTGATAGACCTGGACGCGGAGCCCCCTGTGACAGTCCCGGACACGGAGCCCCCTGTGACAGACCAAAATACTCACCCCCTGTGACAAAACCGGACTCGGGGCCCCCTTTGACAGATCCAGATACTTACCCCCTGTGCCAGACCCAGATACTCACCCCCAGTGACAGACCCAGATCCTCAACCCCTGTGACAGACCCAGATCCTCACCCCCTGCGACAGACCCAGGCTCGGAGCCCCCTGTGACAGGCCCAGATACTTACCCCCTGTGCCAGACCCAGATACTTACCCCTTGTGACAGACCCAGATACTAACCCCCTGTGACAGACCCAGATACTCACCCCCGTGACAGACCCAGACTCTGAGCCCCCTGTGATAGACCCAGATACTTACCCCCTGTGACAGACCCGGACTCGGAGCCCCCTGTGACAGACCCAGATACTTACCCCCTGTGACAGACCCAGATACTTACCCCCTGTGACAGACCCAGATACTCACCCCCTGTGACAGACCCGGACTCGGAGCCCCCTGTGACAGACCCAGATACTTACCCCCTGTGACAGACCCAGACTCGGAGCCCCCTGTGACAGACCCAGATACTTACCCCCTGTGACAGACCCAGATACTCACCCCCTGTGACAGACCCAGACTCGGAGCCCCCTGCCCGAGACACGTTGGAGCTGCTGTTGCTATCGTCGACAATCTTGAGCTTGGTACAGTTCTTTGGTACATTGTTGACACACTTCTCATGACAGTTGTAGCCACAATCTGCACAGTGCATGCCTGGAATAGTACATTTCATAACTTCACATCTGAAGAGTTCGCATGTCACAAGCACATACTTAACATCCAGTGTCCACACATCTCTAGCATATTTTTAGCAGATAATTACCTGTCTAGAAATTCAGAAACAGATATATTAAAGATAAATTCAAGATAATTACATTGGTTTCAGAAGTCCCCAAAACTCTATACAGATTGTATCCAGAAAGTAAATTTGAGAAAATGACCCCCCGTTCGAAAAAGTCCCCATAACTACATGTATATACACTCTGCATGTTTGGGGTAGCTTACCCTAAATACATGTTTTGAGAAACCCCCTGTACGGGAATAGTTTGGGATAACAACCTGTTTTGGAAGTCCTAACAACTGTATATACACTATGTAGGTACAGTATGAAATAAGTATTATACAATTACCTGTCTTGAGAAGCCCCCACAGGACCTGTGAGCAGTAGTCACAGTACACAGGTGTGGTGTACGTGTACTTCTCAAACCTGTGGGGCTGGCTGAACATCTTTGCCGCCTCACCCAGCATCTTGCCCTTGACGAGGATCTCCAGCGTGGAGCGCTTGTGTATGGAGCGACCATGTGAGCGCACCATCTGAGTGTTGAAGGAGGCGTTCCTATGGATGGTCTCTCGGTTTGGACGTTCTATTTTGTCCCAGACATTCTTCCACTTCTGCGGTAGCAGCCCCAGGTCACTCTCTATCTTATACATCTCCTACAGAAAGCAGAAAACTTTCTACATTCTGTATCAAGGTTCATACTGATATTTCAATCCAGTTTTTAAAATCACTTAAGCTTGTTTTCCATATCTCACATTTACCTTTAGTTCTGACACCACATAAAACATTTGGTACCAATATTGTAAGATTTTTATGAACCTAAATGTTCCCCCCACCCAAACGCTTCTTATCAGAAAAATCTGTTCAATGACCTCAAAAACACATTTCATGATTACTTTTTGAGATGCAGCTTTTTTTGGCTAAACATCAAATTTTGGACATTGTTAGGACACCTTTTCAAACCTTAATGATAAACCTTGTGTATACCATGGACAAATGATTTCTGTTAATTTTCGGGAAAGAAATGCTGATACTTCATAGTCATTAGTGAAATGTGTATTTTTATATTATGCTTAACTGTAGGTATACCCCCCTAGGAACTTCAGTAATCGTAAATGTAGAATGTTTTGGAATCCGTTACCCAAATATAGAAAAATCATGGTCACAGCCTACCTGTAGCTGCCATGTAAAAGCATCAGGCTGTTGTATTCGGATGTTGTCATAGCAACCATTGACGACCTTGCGAGTCCTCTGACCCGAACTCTCTGCAGCCTCCTCCTCATTGAGTTGTATCTCGCGTTGTGTGACCTCTACCTCGTACGGCGGGCCGTGAGCCAGGTCCTCCGTTAGGTAGTATTCCCAGACACACAGGTTGGACATGTTGGAGTATGGCCTCAGCACCTGGTAACGAGATTTAAAATACACCATTTGAAAGAATGATGGATGGACTTCTGTCAGTGTTGGGTGCTGAACTTGTAAGATAGTGGTAAGAGCATGGATCTAAAGGCTGCCAAATATAAGCACGATGCAAACATAATTCATATACTTTTTCAGCATTTTTTGCAATTTTCTTGGTAACAATTTTCGGGAAAAAAATGTTTTTAGTGAACGGATACCGCTATACAGAATGAAATTATCATAAATCACAACTGATTTAAAATAAACTTTACATGATAACTAACCTAGGTAATATCAACATAAAACTATGAAACAGTCCTTCATAGAAAAGAATACATAAATTATTAATTGTCTTCAGAAAATAAACATATTTCAGACCTTTTTAAGGAATACTGACCGAATTCCAGCACTTTTCTAGGAAACACCTATTTTCCATTTTTTTTTCAAGCATTGACCTCATGATCAATTCCAGTAATATTTTCTGGCCTGTACAAACCATGGAAACAGATCTTATCGTCCACTAGTTTGTTGTTATGACTAAAGGATTTTCTTTATAAAAAGCAGTGTATCAAGAGTCTAGCAGGAACTTACCACCTCTTGGTCATGTGGGCTGTAGTAGAAGTTCCAGAAGATGGATGACTTGCGGTGATGTTTATCGATGTAGTCCCAGACGGACATTCCCAGACTTGATTGGTGCTGATGACGAGTGGCGAAACCCCCTGTAACACAACAACATGTCTTCGTCAATTCTAAACATACCAGTTATTCTGACGACTAAAACAAAACTCAGTACAGTGTTAATGAATATCTGTTGATAGCAAAAAGAGGTATCTAGACTACTGAAGTACCTAAATTCATGTATTCAAAAATGTATGAAAAACACATGATGTATATGTCACCAATTCCGCTTTGATAGAAAATGAGTTAAACATAAAGCCTCTAGAAATCTGCTTTTTTTGATGCTAAACAATCTCGTCTGTGTTGACTGACTAACCTTCTAAGTCTTGTCTGTGTTGACTGACTTACCTTCTAAGTCTCGTCTGTGTTGACTGACTTAACTTCTAAGTCTCATCTGTGTTGACTGACTAACCTTCTAAGTCTCGTCTGTGTTTACTGACTAACCTTCTAAGTCTCGTCTGTGTTGACTGACTTACCTTCTAAGTCTCGTCTGTGTTGACTGACTTACCTTCTAAGTCTCGTCTGTGTTTACTGACTAACCTTCTAAGTCTCAGTCTTGTCTGTGTTGACTGACTAACAATCTAAGTCTCGTCTGTGTTGACTGACTAACCTTCTAAGTCTCGTCTGTGTTGACTGACTAACCTTCTAAGTCTCGTCTGTGTTGACTGACTAACCTTCTAAGTCTCGTCTGTGTTGACTGACTAACCTTCTAAGTCTCGTCTGTGTTGACTGACTAACCTTCTAAGTCTCGTCTGTGTTGACTGACTAACCTTCTAAGTCTCGTCTGTGTTGACTGACTAACCTTCTAAGTCTCGTCTGTGTTGACTGACTAACCTTCTAAGTCTCGTCTGTGTTGACTGACTAACCTTCTAAGTCTCGTCTGTGTTGACTGACTAACCTTCTAAGTCTCGTCTGTGTTGACTGACTAACCTTCTAAGTCTCGTCTGTGTTGACTGACTAACCTTCTAAGTCTCGTCTGTGTTGACTGACTAACCTTCTAAGTCTCGTCTGTGTTGACTGACTAACCTTCTAAGTCTCGTCTGTGTTGACTGACTAACCTTCTAAGTCTCGTCTGTGTTGACTGACTAACCTTCTAAGTCTCGTCTGTGTTGACTGACTTACCTTCTAAGTCTGTGTCGTCAATCTTGGGAGTCTTCCTCTCCTCGCATAACCAGCCCGCCTCCATACGTTCGTACTCGTTATCTAACATAAAGCTCCTGAACCGGCTGGCGACGTAGTGGTAGGCCAAGAAGCGCAGGTAAAAATCGTTATATTCAAACGACAGCGGGAACTGGTTCATCACCTGTATATGTGAATATGACATCATAACCAACATTTCCTTACATTAATTGTTTATAGAGTTTAACGTCCTCGCTACAGGTAAGGTCATACGAGGACGGAAATGACTAACAGAGAAATGATTATGTATGAAGATACTGAAAGGGGTGTAACATACCTGATGGACGACATCAAGGAACTGCAGGAACAGGGGAGCGAACCCACTGGCTTGGTTGGCAGCCGTCTGGTTACTGCGGTGCGTAAATCTATGTCCAAAAGACAGCCATTCCTTCTCCACAAGGGCGCGGAAGCCTTCTATTGTGCGGTAGTACGGGTCGAGGAGAATTTGGGCCACGGACACTACTTGTGTGGTGAAATCCCAGCCGTCCTCCAGACACATCATCACTGAAGACCCCTGTACATCTAACAGGTCAACGGTCGCTCCAGCCAGCTGTAGGATGTTCTGTATCTATACACAAAACACACCTTAGGTCACACACCGCGTAAAACTTTAAGTATAACACAGATTACATACCTTATATCACAAACGTTTTACAAGCTAAAGATCCACAAACACCCTTATAATTCCCTCTAAAGAACAAGAATCTCCCTGTGATTTGTTTCGGTATTATAAAGCCCTAACCTGTTGGATAAGTGTCAATTCACACCAGTAAGTGATTTTCTTCTGTTTAGAGAGCATTGTATCAATAGCAATTACATGAACAAGTCTTAATTCATGAAAGTTGTGTTTGACCCTTTTACCATAGTAGACCATAATGGACTCATCCAGATCAATGTATGGTAGAGTCTACTAAAGTTACCTAGGGGTGAAAGGGTTAATATAAATGAAAATTCATAATGTTAATTCTGGTAAAAATAACACCTACAGTAAGTCTCCCAACCAAAAACTCAATTTCCCAGCCAAACGGAGATAACTCAGTAGTATGTATTCTGAAGTCACCGTACAAGCTAGAGTAATCCACAGAACTGTACAATCTAGTCTACTCTGCCCTATACAGGAACCTTAGAATCTCTCACCCCTTTGAGGGTGAAATTGGGGAAGATTCTTAAGTTACCAAACATGAGGCTTCGCCGAGTGTTTGGCAACTTATGAATCTTTCCCCAAGGGTTGAGATTCCCCTATCTCACCCCAAAGGGGGCGAATGATTATTTTTCTCTTATTCTGTTCACCCATTGTGTATCATATACATAAAGTCATATTAACGTTACAGGCTAAATGCAGATTTGATGTGACGTTGATGCGTTGTTGACGTGACGTTGATGCGTTGTTGACGAGAAGTCATACCATTGTTATGAATTGGGGAATCCCCCGTCTCAACTCTAGGGCGAGACAAGGATATCTCACACAGGAAAAAGTGTGGATACACCTGTACAGGGTAAGAGAAAGAGTATTCCATACATCGCTTAACCCTTTCACCACTGTAGACCATAACAGACTCATCCCGATCAATGCATGGAAGAGTTTACTAAAGTTACATAGGGATGAAAGGGTTAAAGAGAACTACAGTTCGCTCTTTGTAGTTAGATTAACAAGAATAAAATGCTGGCGAAAGCAGATTTTTCTTTATAACTTATTCATATTTCATCCATGAAAATGACCTCTGCCCAAACATCAGGGGACATTGTAAATGTTTACCTGTAGGAGCCACTCGCATTCCTCGACCGCCTTATAAAACGTGTTTTCCTGTGTGGGAGGGGCACTTGGAACACATGCCCTCATCAACTTTTTAAAGCTGGCCTTGACATGTCGCACCTCATAGAAGTCAACAGGTATGAAGTCACACTTGGGGAAAGATTCCGTTTTTATACCCTGAAAATAAATTTTATTCTGGTCAGTAAGTCAAACAATTTGTATAGAGTCAAATCCTTAAAGAAAACTTTCTGCTGACCCCCCCCCCCCCCCCCCCCCCTGCATTTTCAAGCATCATTAGCATGTATTTTGTGTTGTAACACATGCAAATTAAAATCTGAACTTTTTAATTTCGTTGATTTCGTGGGTAATCTTCATCCAAAAATTCATAGGTCCAGGAAGTTGCTACAAGTTTGATATAAAGCAATTCTCTGTTTGAGTGGGTCCCTGTAATCAACAAATTCATGTACCCACGAAATGGTGTGTTGTCGGGAAATCACAAAATTTGGGCCCCACGAAAATATCTGATTTCACAGTATATAAAATAAACAGTATGATTGATTGACATCAAATGTCCAGACACCCTTTATGTTTATCTGTAGCACATGTTTTTGTTGTTGTTTTCGTTGTTTCAAATTGAGGGTTATCAAGTTTTACCTTGCCTCAAAATATATCGTCAATTATACATTCTTAACCATAAAGTTGTGTTGATTGATTGAGCTGCATAATATGTGAAAGCTGAAAGTGATTTTTTAAATGCAGCAACTTATTGTAACAGGCCCAAAACTGAATCTTTATTTTAGTTTGACCTTCATACTATACCTTTGATATTAAAATTTCTATTAACGCATTCACCCCTAAAATTTCATAATGAACTATTCCAACCTTTGAATTGGAACAGTTCAAATGTGTCTTCAGGGGTGAATGAGTTAAAATACACGTTGTCACTACACAACTGAACTCCCTAATTAATAAGGAGTTTGAGGAATTGTACCTTCATCTGGGCCTTCTCCCCGAGCACATAGAGAGCTACACGCTTCAGGCCCTGTACAGAACTGTTGATGAGATCACCATGGCTACGCTCACCATAGTTACCGTCACTCAGCGCCCCGTTTAGGCGAGCGGCAGATGAGTCAAGGCTGGCAGTGCCGCTCATCCGTGACTTATCCTTAATGCTGCCAATTCTGCCGAACGCTGAAAGAATACAATATGCACAGGGTGACTGAAGATCCTGCATATCAGAATATTTTAAGGCTGGGTACAAGAAATATCATTTTTATCATATGGTACAAATCTAACTATGGTTACAGTAGGTATATAAAGTCACAAACATTTCTACAGAGCAATATTTACATCATCATCAATAAGTCAATTACTGAGTCAAAATGATAACAGTAATGAAAATAAAATAATTTTTAAAGATCAGTATTTAATTATTCTAAAATCCACTTTAAAACATTCACTGATTTGCTAGTAGGGGTTATCTTAATGATTGTACATCATGCTATCTTACATGAAAGTGAGGCTACAATGAAGAACGGTCTCCGTAACAGGCCTGGCCTATACAATTAGCACACACATATGTAGACAGCTACGTACAGTCTGGCCATGCATGTAAGGGTCGACCATATTTTAGGTTGAGGATGTTTTTCAGAAATTAGTGTGTATATCGTCAATACATGATCAATGAATAAAGCAGATGAATGATAGTAACGCTGACAAGGAAGGGCAGATAACTGTGAAAGACCATGCTGGACCGTCGATATGTATGATATACGTTGTATACATGTGCTGGTAAGTAATGATGTGTTAGTGACTCACCAGAGATTCTGTGAAAATTCGTCCTATATTCACGAAACTCAAACAACACTGACATGATTAACTAAGTATTTCTTGTAATTTACAAGTCGTTTAAGTTGTTCGTCATTCTTCAAATAAAATAACTGATACTTGATTAAGTTTATTAAATCTGACTGTGACAAACCATATCCAAGTGTTGTGACTACTGCAGTACCTTACAGTATCTTCTAATCCAGTTATACAGGTGCACACTACACAGTAGAAACACTAAAGGAGGATTAATGTACTGATTAAAGCAAGGGGGTGGGGTTAGGGAGGGGGTGGGGTTAGAGAGGGGCAAGAAAACAGACAACAGATCTAGAAAGAGGAAAAGGGAAGCAATACATAAAACAGTCGGAAAGAGAAAGGACAAAGTCTGAGGCAGCAAGGAAAAATACTTAGGTGACAGACTGAAATGACAAGACTGAAAGGGCACAAACAAAAAGAATTACTGAAAAGGCAAAAACATGGTGATATACTGAAAGGGCAAAAACAAAGAGGAATACTAAAAGGGCAAAAACATAGTGAAATACTGAAAGGGCAAAAACATAGTGAAATACTGAAAGGGCAAAAACAAAGAGAAATACTGAAAGGGCAAACCCAAAGAGAAATACTGAAAGGGCACAAACATAGTGAAATACTGAAAGGGCAAAAACAGAGAGAAAGACCAAGGGAAAAGACTTGAGCGAAAGATAGAGAGGAGAGAAACTTGAGAGAAGAAAGAAAGACAAAGGGAAAAGATATGCGAGAAACAAAGAGAGGACAAAGACTGAATAAAAAAGACAGTAGTTGCAATGGCTTACTGTGAATATCAGGAAAGACAAAGCTTTGTAGGGAAAGACAAGAGGATGGACCAGCTTCTGTGACTGAAGACTATAGTGTGTTAGCCTAGCCTTGTGTTACCCAGTAGTGGTGTATGTGATTATTTGCCTGGCTTACTGACCAAGACAACACTCCTATTTACACACTATACAGCCATTTCAGCACACGACATGCTTCCATGCCTACTTTTTCGGTCAGTCAAGCCCGCTGTTTTGCTTTTCACTTCTAACACTTACATATACCATTGATTATCTCACATCCACATCAGCAGACAGTGAAATTCTCATGCACACAAGCTATCAAAATACAATCTGGATTGTTAGCTCTCTAAAAGGTCAAAAAGTCAAAAGAGATGAAAAGTCTTGTAATTATGTACAAGGTAACAATGATCTACAAATATTTGGTTGAATGACCATGTCATTGAATACATTAAGTTACAGGATTCGTACAGGAATTTTACTATGAAATTCAAGGTTTTGAGGGCCTTTTAACTCATTCACACCTGAAATTTCATAATGAACTATTTCAACCATTGAATTGGAAGAATTCAAAGGTGTCTTCAGGGGTGAATGAGTTAAGGGACTTTTTAAGTAAAATTAAGACCTAAAATCTTTCGCTATTTGTAAATTCTCAAAAATTCTCTAAAATCTACTACTGGTTGGTAGACAAAAAATCTAGAAATTCAATGGCAACAATTTTTATTTTTTTTGCATTGAGTGAATATTAATTTTTACGAGAATAACACAACAAAACCACCGAAATTAATATACAATCATCATTTGATGATCATTTAATCGAATTCAAAGTTCAATTTGACCCTTTCAAGATATTTTAATGAAGTTTAACAGCTTTTTGGGCCTTTTCATAAATTTTAGGGCTTTACAAGGCATATCATTTGTTTTTAGGGTGTTTTCAAGGTCTGCACAGACCCTGGTTTGATAAAAATAGTGATAGCTTGGATGACAACAATATAAACCAGTATGGCTCCTGTTTGGTTCACCACCTAGAAAGGTCAGAGACCGACGCACAATAGTAGATATAGAACAAGTTGTCCTCTGTTCTTTTTGTTCAACTATAAAACACATAGCTAAACTAACAATTCAAAAATATTAAAGAACAAGCAAATTTCTTGGAATTTATATCCCCCGCTTCCAGGACATATTGTAGGTACACATTTTTGAGGTTAGGTTTAAACATGTGAGTATCGTGCTGTTGAGACATAATGTATAGCTTGAAACTCGAAGAAAAAAAAGCCTTATCTAATATTTGCTATAGAGTTATTAAGCGGAAACCGCAGATAATGACTCTGCCAAATGGAGTCTGATTAAAGTGGTTGTCAAACTTGGCAAGGCCCTTAATGCGTTGAACCCTGTTACTAAGTTTGAAGACAATCGGATACTATTTGCGAGAGTTAATAAGCAGAAACGAAAGATAATGATGTTTTTTGTTATTCAAGGGGCCATAACGCCGCCAAATCGGGGTCCGCTGAAAATGGTCATCAAACTTGGTCGAACCCTTAAGACATTTAACCCTGGTACCAAGTTTGAAGAATATCGGTTAACATTTGTTGTAGTTATTGCACGGAAACAAAACACAGTAGATAATGATGTTTTTCGTTATTCAAGGGGCCATAACTCCGCCAAATCGGGTCCGCTGAAAGTGGTCATCGAACTTGGCCGAGCCCTTAAAGTATTTAACACTGTGACCAAGTTTGAAGAAAATCGGTTAACATTTGTTGTAGTTACGGAAACGAAGCATGACAGACAGACAGACAGACGAACAAACCCAAATTAATATCCCCCTTTTCGGTGTAAGCCGGGGATAAAAAAACCAACATAATCTCACAAATTTTTGAGCTTGTTATTTATCTATTATGGTTCAGTCAGTATAAATTTCATATTTTATAGATATTCACCCTCAAATCTCTGATTTTGGGGATGTGTTAGTTATATATGGTTCAGTCAATAGGTGTGGTTAGTACAGCAGCACCGGAATACTGGCACAACAAGCCATTCAACCCCAATCAACTCACATAAACCGTCACGCAGAGAAAACAAATCTAAATTAAAAAAAAAAAAAAAATGATTTTTTTAATTTTCAACCACATAAATCACCATATTTTTAACTTTGATATTTTTCTTTTTCACTGTTGATTACAGATATTCTGTTATGTTTGAGGATTTAATATCAAATTAAACTATCAGAAGAGAGCTGATTTGAGTTCCCTGTTTTCACTGACAGCAGATTATCTCCCTTGACGGTTTTCTGTGAGGGAGGTGAGAAAGACTCGTGTGTATGATCACATAAGTCAGACATGCATCATTCCCAGGGTGCCTGACGGATATAAACAGTATACTTTGCCAGTAGCCAGCTCGTGACCGTGATCGCCGAGGTAGGGTGAGGACTGAAACACACATATGGTAATTCGTATGTAGGTATATGTAAGTGTGCAGCATGTCAATGTGTTTATACTCCAGTGAACCACACCTTATATATATGATGCCTGGGTATATAACGATAACATTCCTGATAGTCCCTACATGTACTCTCCAGCATGTACTCTAGTTCTCTTTGTACAGTAGATTAACAGTCTCCAATTCTTCACACAGTATAGTCTCTCAAGTAACAATACATAGTCTCTCGTAGTCTTCATACCAACTATAGACTCCAATACTGATCTTCACACAAAAAGGAGTCTTTATTAGCTCTCATACATTATGTTGTCTCTAGTAGTGAATGGAAAATATATGGCGTCTGGTGCTCCTACAATATAAAGTCTCTGGTAGTCGTCATACAAAATAAAGCCTGTAGTAATTGTTATATATCGTTGCTTGTTTTCTTTTTACAATATATTTGTGGTCTGGAATTTTTCCTACAATATATATAATCCCCAGTAACAATTTACAGTCTCTGGTCCTGTGATACAAAATAAAGTCTCTTGTGCTCTTTCATAAAATATAAATTCTTTGGTTCTCTGGCATAATCTCTGATGATTTCATAGGTTATATATATATACAGCCTGGTACATCTTCCGTAACTTATTGCCACAAAAAAAAAAAAAAAATTGCCATACACACTTGCACTCTACCATACCCACATACTACATTTTGTTTGGCACTTTGTATACATCTGTCTGATGGGCCTTAATCTCAGACACCATTTCTGTTGTGTCACACACATTACAGTTAATAGCTAACCACACTGCATACTGCATAAACTGGTGAAAATGATATGAGACATGTACAGTACACACAGCATGGCAACTATGCATATAAATAACAAGTATAGTCCATGAGCAGGCAGCCCCACTGATTCCCATACACATTCACCAACACATTGCTACATTTACGTATGGAAAGGGACTTATATACATTGCAGTGAGGGCACGACGTCTTACTTTCTGAACGCTTTCATTCTGGATTCATCTAAAATGAACGATGTGTAGAGCATCCTTATTGAGTATGTTGGCCAATCAAATGATAGCTACTGTGTGTTATATAACTGGGAATCAGCCAATCAAATGATAGCTACCTTGGGTGTTATACAATGTAGAAATTGGCTATAATCAAATGATAGCTACTTTGGGTGTTATAAAATGTAGGAATCAGCTAATCAAATGACAGCTACTTTGGGTGTTATACAATGTAGGAATCAACCAATCATATGATAGCTACCTTGGGTGTTATACAATGTAGGAATTGGCTAATTGGAAATATAAAATAACAAATTCAAAAGATGGAACTAAATTTGGATAAAACTGAAAGGAAACTGATAAAATTAGATTTCATTATGAATATATGGTTTTTAACATGCACGTGGAAACATGAAGAACCTATTTCAACCTTATGTTGATTTCGACTCTCTATGTCATTGAAATTGAAATCAAAATAAGCTGTAAATTAACTGAGTAATCAAAAAACAGAAAATAGAACATCAAAAACAAACATTGACCTGTACAAGTAGCAAAACGTCCGACCTAGCACACACTGTGTTCAGACATTTCACCATACTTGTACTATTTCAAGTTAGCAATACCTCAACACTGTTAGAGATATGCCTAATAATGTGTATAATTCATATTTGTACACCAGTCATACTATTTAAGAATTCAATAGCCTTCCTTCAGAGAATTCTGATAATCAATTTTCAAATTAATTACAGTTAATCGGCTAATTTGAAAATTACAGTTAATTGGCTATCTGTTTACTTAAGACTATAAGCATTCCTGATGTTTATTAAGGAACCAAGAAATCATGTATACTGAATGTCGGAATGAACAGGGTTCCGCCATACACTGAAATAGAATGTGTAGAAAAATACATTGTAAAAAGGTTAGTAAATACATGGATTATTATGAGTAACCAATAGCAAAAACTGTAACCATATATATTTCCTGCAAAACTTAAATTTTGTAAAAACGATAGAAAAAACATTGTGTATTAATGGAAAAATGTGGTTCTCATCTTCAGGCTTCTCCTACAGACATGCCTGTTTTACAGTCATCATACAGCGAATGGCGACGGGAGATTACAATGTTAAAAAAAACATCTCCTTCTTATGAATTCCAAGCACACTGGTACTTTCCTTGTAAAACATGCATCTAGAGAGCTGTTTGGGGATGCCCTATGATCTCTTAAAGACCGGCTCTATTAACTATTAACATGCAGTCCTAGGAACGACAAGGGTCTGATATTCTAAGAATGAAACTAAGTGGAAGGCAGCACCCTCTGGTTACTATCAAACTTAGTCATACTTAAAAGGGTGATCTGTACCAAGACCACTCTTGACCAGTGCCATTCTGTCCAGCGTCAAGATACTCTGACCACTTGAACTATTCTTGACCGGTGACCGGTCTATTGTAAAGGTCCCCCGAATTATTTACCGTGAAATGTGGCTAGTTACGGACATCTGGTTTACAAAGGGTACTTACCGCCCTGTAAATTACACCCGTTTGCAAATTTAGAAGCTATATTTGGGAAATGATTCTTTCCCCACTCTCAGAAACCTTTAAGTACATTTTAATTTTGCAATTTGTGTTGCATTTCAAGCTTAGAAGGTATGATTTGGTTTACCAATACAAATATCAGTGTATCATATATATTGTAAATTGTCTCCAAAATCATTGTTGGAAACCCATGTTATTTCATACACCATCCAAATTAAGATACAAACTTGAATAATTACCAGTTTAAGTCCAGTCCCATGAAATGAAGTCTATGATCCTGTACATACCAAGTCAAAAATAACAGGATTTGATCAGGTTGAGGTCAATTTAGTCAACTTTTTTGAAAAGGATCTATTTAAATACAGTAAGAATTTACCTAACACCTGAAACTTTCAGTCCAATTAGCCGATCTTCGATAAAACACATTTTGTAAAAATTTCATTCCAAATTCATTAAATTTCCTTTAAGGAATCTTTGAGCTAATTTATCTTTTATTTTCAATTTGTCTTAGGAACCAAAAGGTCTTCCCAAAATACCCCTGATCAAATCCTGCATCACCTCGGCCAGATGGACAAATGACGATGAAGAAGTCTATAATTGACAGCTACTGCTACAAATGTATCACCAGCTACCAATGAAACATTCTAGGATGCAGGTCCTTTAGAGTAGCAGCCGAGAGTATAGAGACAGAATCTTCGCAAAACGTCAAAAATTATAAATAGTAACAGAAGATAGAAAACTACAAAAGTTAGGAAAACAAATACTTTACCCTTTCACCCCTATGTAACTTTAGTAGACTCTACCATGCATTGATCTGGATGAGTCCATTATGGTCTACAGTGGTGAAAGGGTTTACGAAGATAACAAAATAGGTATTTAAAAAAAAAAGAGGCGTACTATGTACTGTTTCGCAAAAAGTTGAAGTAGGAGATCTCAGATAGTTTTATCAAAGCTAGCTGAAAAATAATTACAGTAGAGAAGATTTATTTCTTCCCTGGTGTAGATCCTAATGCTGTTAGACATGAATTCTGTAAATAGTCAACCCGTTCAATGACAGTGATGGTAAATGATCAAACATGCCATAAAAAAGGACTTCATTCAATACATGAATACCTGTATCAGATACCAGTGCAGGATCACAAAGGACACTTTTGTATTACATTTACCATTATCAGAGCAGAGATTTAAATTGAGGTTTAAAATCTTCGATTTAAAATTTTCGATATTGAAGTGTCTGTGTCGTCAGTGCATGTTATTCGAGGTGGGAGGGGAAGCTTCATAATGATGCTGATGAAATTGTATTCATAGCTCTATGAATGCAATATCTTATGGTAATGCTTATATAGGAACTTGCAGTGGAAATGTAAATATACGGGTTGCGATCTGTACTGCTACCTGTTCCCAAGACATTGTCATGCTTCCTGTCCCCGTTGTGTACAGACACAGTGACACAGAATATACAGTGTTTTCTGGTGGAAATCCATGGAACACATGCTCCAAGTTCAGTCAGACGGACGGGCAACTCTTTAAAACACTCGAATATGTTTGATAGATCAAGACTCTCAAAGTCAGGAAAACTTGTTTCTGATTGTAAAATCATTTTTTTTATGAGTATATATGTCCAGATATCAAGGTTTCCTGTCATTACAGCACAGAAAAATGTTTTGTTTAAGATTTTATTTTTTATTTTTTTTAAACCTAATAGATTCATTGATAGATATGATTGACCTGGAATGTCTACTTTTTTCATGTACAGCTACTTTAAGCAAATAGGTTTTAGAGGAAAAAGTGTTTAAAACATTTTGTAGTCAATTTTTAGTTTTTCTCAATTTTACAAACAATCTTCTGTATAGCAGGAGATCCTCAATGTAACTTTATCATACTTCAAAGAGTTGCCTTGTCCTGCCCATAGTTTCAGAATGCACTCAAATTTGAACTTTTTAAAATCTTCAAACGATTCCAATTTTTTTTTAATTGAAATTTTCATTACTTTGAAACCAAAATCCTCAAATTTGAAAACGACCTCATATTGGAGACCATCGTGAAACTAGGGACGCTGTAAGTTTTGTGTGTTGCAGGCTTGCGGAGAATTGGTTGGGAGTGGAGCAAGCATTTCCGGCACATCCAGATTATACAGGCGTAAACAAAGATAAACCTACAGGTGCCATGACTTCGAGAACTGCTGGACCGGAGAGTGCTGACAGCCCGGGAAAACATACTTCGTCTGGCCGTGTCTGAGAGGATAGAAGTAAGGGACTCTCGACTAGCTATAGACGGACACAAAGAAAAACGAGAGTTACAACACTTAACCATTATCGTTATGGAGTCCACAAACAATAGTTACAACATGCTGTCCAAAGTGAGTCTCCACTAGCTAGAGAAAACAGAATTACAACATTTCTCCATTCACAGGAAAATCTCAAAATAGAAATTCACAACATTCAAAGGAACTCTTCAGTTTTTAGAGTTACATAAAGGAAACACAGTAAGTCTGTAAACCTGTAACCATTACCAGTGCCTTTTAAATACACGCAGAATTAAAGAAATCAGAATTTGAAAGGCATGCAACTTAAAACACACATACACAGTGACACATTTCAATAGATATACAATTGTACAGTACTAAAAAACGTGTCAACACCAAAAGTGACGCTTGACTAGCTATGTAAACCCAATGACATACTCCTTCCCTGTACAGGAACACTCCACTAGACATACAAAACTCAAAGATACAACCAATGTCCCTCCCCTCTCCACCCCCTAAAAGGATCACTGGACTTGCTATACAGAACCAAAGACACCAACCTGAAGGGACACTTGTCTAGCTATATATATATAATCAGAAAAAAACATCAAGAAACACAATTGCAGCGAAACAAGGCAAAGTATTGCAAGGCAATCCATAGTCCCCCACCAGTAATGATTTCTATATTTAACAAACAGAACACTTATGTCAGGATGTACCTACTGTAAGGAAAGTATCCTGATACATGCTTCTTGCACTCTGCCATCCCAAGATGTTTTTGTACACAAAATCTGGATACTTGAGGTGAAAAAATAAAGAAGATATGCCCAGGACAATTTTTTTCAAAAGTAAAGGTCAAAGGTCTAGTCATAGGTCACAGTGACCTAGTTCTTGCACTCAGCCATCCCAAGATGGTCGTGTACACCAAATTTGGTTACTCCAGGTGAAATAAATTTACTTTTTTTTGTCATGGTTTTTGTAGAACTAGAAATGTGAGAAGTAGTTTAGTGGGTATTCAGAGCAGGTAATCATAGATGGTAAACACAGTGGGTAATCACACGAACACATACACAACAATGCTGTCGCTCAAGAAAGGTAAAACGCTCATGGAAAAGAAAATCAAATAATTAAACATGCGAACACAGTTCACCGTGTGACACACAAAAACCATCGACCTCCAAATATAGCACACAAATTGTCACCAAATACAGCACACAAATTGTCACCAAATACAGAATATAAATTGTCACAAAATACAGAATATAAATCGTCACCAAATACAGCAAACAAATTGTCACAAAATACAGAATATAAATTGTCACCAAATACAGCAAACAAATTGTCACAAAATACAGAATATAAATTGTCACCAAATACAGCAAACAAATTGTCACAAAATACAGAATATAAATTGTCACCAAATACAGCAAACAAATTGTCAACAAATACAGCACACAAATTGTCACAAAATACAGCAAACAAATTGTCACCAAATACAGCACACAAATTGTCACAAAATACAGCAAACAAATTGTCACAAAATACAGAATATAAATTGTCACAAAATACAGCACACAAATTGATACCAAACATAGTGCTCAAATTGTCACCAAATACAGCGCTCAAATTGTCACCAAATACAGCACTCAAATTGTCACCTAATATAGCGCTCAAATTGTCACCAAATATAGCACAAACCTTCGTGCATGTAGCGAAATGACTGTGACAAATCCCATTGTATATATACATATAACTTAACTGTCTTGTGAGATGTGTACCTTATTGATGTGGATAAATGTAAACTGCTACAAATATGTTCTTGTAAATTTTGCCAATAACATGTACAACAAATATTTTACCTTCAGCTTTCAACAAAATAGATGTGTTAGACTTAACGTGCACTTCCCAGAACTCTTTTAGAAATAGAACCATCTTTATTGAACGGGTGAATTTGTGTGTAATCCCTGTGGTTAGATTTAACAGTGGTTTTCAACTCATTAATTGCCATTTTTTTGGGATGATGTTTATTAGACAGCTCATTTTTGGGAGGTTAAACAAATTATGGAATCCTGTCAAGACACACAGCCTCAGCAAAACAAATACCAGTGGTTAACTAGGGGAATACAGGAGAGATTTTGCAGCATTTATGAACAAAACAAAATTAATCGATAAAATAATACAAAAACAAAATAACTTTAGATGAAGCTGAGAATAGAACGGGGAAAGCATCATGGAGGAGATCTTTACCTATGTCCTTCAAAACTGAAACAAAGATTCTTAGCTATCAACACAATGTACAAGCAAAATCTTGTCTGGTACACTATCAAAAGAAGTACCTATGCAAATATACTTAGTCAACATATTCGTGTTTAAACGAAATATTATCAACAGATTACGGACAATAAATAATGATCTAATACACAAAATATATATACTCTCTCACACATTATAGAAAGTATGAAGCTACAATCAAATACTCTCTATACACATGTGTACCCTCTAATTACACAAACACACGTACATGACTCTCTCTATACACATGTGTACCCTCTAATTACACAAACACATGTACATGTGTGTAACTGCACACGTAGACTATATACATGTATAGCTAGTGCCTGTTCATATAAATCCCTTTCATGTTAAGTTTGGTATGACGGTCTTGTGAAACATATTACAGATAGCTCACAGAAAGCAATTTGATCTACTGCATATTAATGTATATGTTCGGTAATAAGCTCATGCCTGCTAATAAGCCCACCCAAATTCATTTCAGTTTAGATGAGATGCACACAAATAATTTTTCAACAACCTGCTAGTAAGCCAATCTCCCTACTTTGAAAGGGAAATTATGTGTTGGTTTCCTGGGCTTATTGCAGGATAAATACAGTACATACAGGGTCATATTACAGAGGAAGACTAGTATCCATAGAACATCCCTTTCGTAGATAAAAAAAGTTATCTTCAATAAATACATCCACATGTACATTGTGTATGTAATATCTGGCACTTATATACCCCTTAGTTTAATAACACAATATCCCTTTAACTCATTCACCCTGAAATTTCATAATGATCTATTCCAACCTTTGAATTGGAAGAGTTCAAATGTGTCTTCAGGGGTGAATGAGTTAATGTAATACACAATTCTTGTGGAATTATTACGAGTTGACAGGGTTCATTAGCAGGTGTTACTTACAGGTGGTCTTTGGTTTCACCATGCTGCCAGTCTTAATTGCACGCCTCATCAAGTCTGGAGTGTCGGGCAATGTGATCGGCTGTTCCACCATCATAAGCGAGTCGAGACTAGTGAGGGAGTCGCTACACGAGGGGTGGTAGACACGCCCACTGTTGGGTGTTGCCCCTACGATGGATGAGAAGTAGCGTTCCTGCTGCAGACTGGTAGACGGCTCCCCTCCCGATGTACCTGTGAACACCCATACACACTTTCAGATCCTGTAAAATGTAATATTTATGACAACTTTTCCTCTTCTGGTCTTCAAACAAATCTGCCCAGATATGAATTTATTGCAATAACTTACTGTAGATGTCCTGGCGCAGAGTTTAATGGCTACCTTGCCTGTTACATTTGCCATGCTACAAAAATACCACAATGACAAACAAAACTATAACAGTTTACAATTGGAAATCTTCCAAGTTTCCTTTGACCTCTCTCTATCTTTTGAAAGTTTTTTTAAAATTTTTTACTAGCTCTTTTCTTCATATTTCTATCTCTTTCTACTTCTTTTTTATTATTATTTCTGTTTGCATTTATTACCGATATTTACCCTCATGCCTGCGGCTAGAGGATACATGTGGTCTAAACAAGATAAAAATAACATTGGGGTGAGGCTATATGACCAATACAACCTAAATGTGGTTACCTGACACTGCAGACAGCGTAAGTTTATTGTGTCGTGTAATACTTAATCTCCGTCCAACAAACACGTGAAATTTGAGATGTTTACTGAATACAAATGGATGACATCTTTTCAACTACATACGTAAATGTGCTACTGTATACCAGGAAACTTTCACTTTCACTCTTTTCCCCATAAACTCAATTTTCGCGAATGTAAATTTCATCCTTCTCTTATAAACTCAGATATAATTTTCGCCCACTGTAAATTTCATCCTTCTCTTATAATCAGATATAATTTTTGCCCAGTGTAAATTTCATCCTTCTCTTATAAACTCAATTTAATTTTCGCCCAGTGAAACTTTTCCCCTTCTCCAATAAACTCAATTTTCGCCCAGTGTAAATTTCGCCATTCACAATGTATATAATGTTGTCTACCCATTTTCGCTGTAATGATAAATTTGACCCTCATTACCAATGGCAAAAAAGTCGAAAATTAAACTGCGACAAAAAATTCTTGATACACAGTATTTACGTTTATTTCACTTTTGTACACGCCTATCTGCTGTTATTTTTGAACTGGGAATATTCTAAGTTTACAAACCTGAGCCACCTTCTGGTTTGAGCATCCCCATTAGACCGCGGCTGTGAAAGCCACTCGCCCGAAGTAAGAGGGCCTTGGTTCTCTGGTGGCGCCACGTTATCACAGGGAACCTGTCACACAAATGAAACTGGTCAATCTAATTTCATTATTCATCTTTGTGTGTAGGCTGATAAAAAATTATCTTTAGATGAAGACAAATAATATGATCCATGTTGTGATATAAGACTTGAAAAATTAAATGTATTGAATGCATATTCATCAAACGCAACGGTTAACATATAACCGTCCTACAATGCTATATCTCCCTGCTGTGTGTACCCAGTTCTGAGTCCCACATTTATTATTTGCAGAATATTTGCCATTTGGAGAAATTTAAAAAAAAAAAAAAAAGTTCAAACGTGATAAATGATATATTCTCTCTTTGTAAGTTTTTTTTTCATAAACATTATTTTGCTCTGGTAGTATCCCGGGAGATAGGAGAGTTGGTTTCCTTCGGTGAATCATACGATTCAATTCAGGAAACAAACCTTCATATCACCCTACTTTCAGGGCAATAAATGTACAATATTCATCGAGTTTCTCGGAAGATGTTCTACAAAACTATTAAGACACACAATTAAAGATTTTTCTACTAGCTAAATATTTTGACACGATGTAAGACACGGCGTTTTGCGTACCTCGATTGCCTATGAGTGCGGGCAAACTTGCGTATACTGTTATCTGTCACTGATGCCGGCACAACTAGGAGGGCAGGATAGCTGTAGGGAAAGAAACACAATTATAATAAATCTTATAATTAATAACATGCAAACTGATCATTTCAGTCTCTGATAAAACTATGAAAATTCCATTTTAACCCTTTCACCACTGTAGGCCATAATGGACTCATCCAGATCAAAGCATGGAAGAGTTTACTCAAGCTACATAGGGGTGAATGTCAACAATTTCAACAGTTATTTATGAATTTTTGACAGATCCTTAGAGCCAGGCCAATATACTGTAAATTGACAAATTTAAGCGGTACTCTTATTTTAGCCCTTTTCACACTTTAAAGTATTGCGCTGAATTGTTATTGTGTGCAATGCAATTCCTGTATATTGTTTTCTATTTTTATATATTTTGTTGGCGCGCCAATTCAGCAATGTGCTAATCTGTCCAAATTTGATAACGCCTTATAATACGAGTGTGTTAAAATAAGTAATGGGAATGATTTGCTGCATATTACCAATTTCGAAAAAAATGTATTCTGCCATGATAAATCAGCATAAAAATTACCATAACTAGCCGTATCGTTATTACAATGAAGCTTTGACTTGTTTCTCAAGTGCCATCGCCATAACGACCTCCACATTACTGCAGTGAACAGTACGTGACATTGACTTGTAACACAACCTTAAATCTTTGTCTTTTATCTTGACATAGTAAAAGGAGCGTCTATTATTAGGATGGCCATCCTCGGTACTCCAGGATATCACCTCTGGAATGTCATAGCAAACTGAAGGCAAAACTGAAGGCAAAACTGAAGGCATGGCGGCTAGCTATATGATTGGTCTCGGGTTAAAAAAACACCTGACCTATCACAAGGCTGAAACCTGTCCTTTGAAGATTACAGAGGAGCAACACCTGACTTCAAAGCAAGTCAGTTTTACCGTTATGAGATCAACAGATTCTTTTGATTAAAGAATCAAACTAGTCTTCTTGTCTCTTCACAAGGTGGGGCACACTGAGCCTTCAATTTTGCTATGACATAGTCCAGGGATGCAAAGAGTGAAAGTGAGCGTATTCCCTGCAGTATCAAGGATACAAGAGGGCTGCAAGAGGGCAATACTTCATCTGGTTACCTTCGACAGACTGAATAGCTGGCATTGACAGTACTGATTCTGAACAGATCTGTCCTCGTCCTGAGTGTCTGACCGCCGCTCATCAGATCCCCGAAGCCGAGACGTTTGTAATCATTGTAGCCGGGCCTGGTCATCAGTTTCTCCAGGAACTTGGGGTCAGCGGCCAAATTCAGGGGGAAATCTGCCTCGTCTATAACTGAAAAGAAAGTAATTTTTGTCATATTTAACGAGTTTTGTTTCCATATTTGCTCGTTGTAAATGAACAAGAGATATTAATTTACTTATTTTGTAAAGATTTACTGTAAACCGGGAAATTTTTGCCAAGTCAAATATTTGCCCTTCGACAATAAAACTTGTTTTCGTCTAATATTAAATTTGCCTTTAATGTTTAATTACAATGTATATTATATTGTTTACAGCTGTTCACTGTAATGATAATTCGCCCTCATAGTGAAGCCTTAAATTAAACTGCAGTGAAAATTTCCCGGTATACAGTTTTTGCTACCCAACATAAATACAAATGAATTCCATTTTCAGGGATTTATTGTACAATGCAAACATTGTGAAGAATCAACGATTTCAACCTCTGAACAAACTCAAGTATCGAAATTAAACAAAGGCACACAAATGTGTAACATTGGACATCACACTGTATTTCAGAAAGTGTCACTCTGCCATCCCAAGAGGTACTCGTATACAAAATTCGGCAACTGTCAGTGACTGAGTATATATGCCTTACACTCTGAAAATGCGACAGACTTTATTGCCGGAGGGCCCTTCCAATTCCAAATAAATTGTTGGTTTAAAGCCATTAAATTTGTTCTAATATTGGACACCTCAAATACATAATGTATACCGGGATACTTTCGCCCAGTCAAATATTCACTGTTTTCCAATAAAATCCATGTTCTCCCAGTGTTAATTTTGCCCTTCATATGTAATAACTATATATTAAATGTCGTGAATTGAAATTCGCTGTCATGATAAATTCGCCCTCATCGGGGAGGGTGAAAAAGGCAAAAGCTTAACTGCAATGAAAAATTCCTGGTAAACAGAATATTCATGTTTGTAATTGAAACAATTAATAATTTTTCTTTTTTTTTGAAATGTCAAGTTATTGAACAGTATGTGTAAACAAAAAATTGAAAAACAAGCAAATCAATTTGTTATGTGAATCAGTCTCCCTTCAAAAACGGACAAGTTTACTTTCAAAGTATCTTTATAGGGTCTTAACGCTATACATACTTGATAGGTCATCGTAGAGCTCGCTTGGCGGGCGATCAGATTCGCTGTCTGATCCTGCCGCAGATGATCGCGAGGCTATACTCCGTCGCTGCTGAGGAGGAGTAGGAAGCACATACTTGTTGGGTTTCCTTCCCGACTGTTTGGGCTTTATACCAGCCTTCCGTACCGTTTTTATTAATGTTTTCTTAGCGAAATGTCTGTAAGAAGATGATTTTGTCGTGTAGAAAAAACATTTATTTCAGAACTATATCATAGACATGTACAACTAAAAACCAGGAAGGCCATGTTATAATGCCATTTGATCATTAGTTACGTCACTAAGTGCCATTATGTATATCGCCAAACCTCTTTATTACGCCAAAAATCAACTGGACAAATGGTGGCAGTATAACAAGGTTTTACAACATTACTCTCTTAAAATAGGTGAATGAAAATGTATTACTTTGAATACGGTACAAAACACAATATTTTTTAGAGGTCGCGATACACCTATGATATTTTCCGGCTTTTTAAAATTTAGTCTAAACATATCCGTTCCCAGATGGCGAGTGAGAGCTCCATCTTGGCATGCACATCAAAAGATGGGAATAGTGTGAAACTTTAAAGTCATGCCCATTTTGGACCAAGTCTATTTCTTGTTGTGAATTTGCCATTAAAAATTTGCAACTGATCTTTTTTCTTTTCTTCTACTGTTACTATATGTATCGTGACCGCAGGTTCGTGATACGTATCGTATGGTCATGTTAATGTATCGTTGCAACCCTATCATTTATTAACCTAATACTTTATGAGGTTGAGCTGTTGACTTTCGGATAGTTTCTGCCATCAGATTTCACTACTCACATCATTGATAACATGACCATCATTTAGAGCCATGTATATGGGAACTTACTTAAGAGAGGCATTTTTCTCCTTGTGTTTGTGCAGAGGTGTCGGTTGGAGTAACGTCTGGCCAGAGAAGGCGAAGGTGTTGAACACGTTGTTAGGGTTACGGTACTTGTTGGAGAGCTTTCTGAAGGCGTCAACATCCTCCGTGTTCACCTCCTCGTCGAAGGCGATCTTCATCAGCTGAAACACATCAACAGAAGCTTGTTATAGAAAGCTTAATCTCATAGTTCAGTGCAGGATTTTGGCATCTACAGATTACCATTTCACCATTCCATTACACCTTACAAACTTTACAAACTATCATATTCACAAGTGGTTACCTAGACTTCAAGTGGTTACCTAGACTTCAACAGATATATGTACCATTCAGGAAATCATGAGTTAATGGGTTATTAAAACAGGCTTAAATTTTTTGTGATATTGGCCCAATATTAGAAAATCCAATTTACAAGGATTATAATTTTGCGATCTAGACATGTGAAGAAACTAAGTTTTTGCTGTGATTTAGCACAGAGACGGGACATTCAGCATATACAGGGTCAAATAGTCTGGTGCTACTTTTGATGTCTATGAATCGTCATAACCACATACTTGCTATTTCATGACAACATTACGGTTATGGAGTTTATTATCATGGCTCATTTTTACGCTTGTCATATAATTCTGCGGATAATATTTTTCGCGGTCACATTATTAAACCTTGAAATCACGAAAATATCACCCCTGCGGAAATATCCAGCTATATGGTAGTTAGCTTGACTTGTCACACATCAGCTTGTCATATTATTCTGCAGATCATATTTTCACTGTCACATTATTGAACCTTGCAATCGCAAAAATATCACCCCTGCGGAAATATCCAGCTATATGGTAGTTAGCTTGACTTGTCAAACATCAGCCTGTCATATTATTCTGCAGATCATATTTTCACTGTCACATTATTGAACCTTGAAATCGCGAAAATATCACCCCTGCGGAAATATCCAGCTATATGGTAGTTAGCTTGACTTGTTAAACATCAGCTTGTCATATTATTCTGCAGATCATATTTTTTACAGTCACATTATTGAACCTTGAAATCGCGAAAATATCACCCCTGCGGAAATATCCAGCTATATGGTAGTTAGCTTGACTTGTCAGACATCAGCTTGTCATATTATTCTGCAGATCATATTTTTCCTGATCACGTGACCTGCGAAAATTGTGAAATTATCATCCCCGCAGTAATATCCATCTATATTGTAGTTAGCTTGACTTGTCAAAACATAAGCTTGTCATATTATTCTACAGATCATATTTTTTGCGATCATGTTATTGATATGCGAAATTGTAAAAAACATCATCCCCACAGAAATATCTATCTATACGGTGGTTAGTTCGACTTGTCAGACATACCTTTAGTGATTAAGTATCAAAATGAGTGGTTACCTCCACTGCTTAGGTTTTCTATTCCTGAGACACAGTGTCAACACAAATGGCTACTTGGACTAGAAATACAGTTCAGGGCGAAGCCTCAATGTAAGTAGTTACTGGGAATTGTTAGATCTACCATTCCCGAGAAATAGCATCAACGTAAGTGGTTACCTGGAATCTACCATTCCCGAGACAAACCACCAGTTTTAAGTGGTTACCTGAAATCTTTAGATCTACCATTCCCGAGAAACATCATTGATGTAAAGTACCTACCTGGAATATATTGGACCTGATCTGGATGCCGTCCTTGGGCAGCTGGTCTATATGAGGAGTGTACTGGACCTTAATCTGCTTCTCCTTAGTGAGGGTCGACACGGGGAAGTACCGCACTACCACCTGCTCACACGCTATAACAGGGGAGGTAACACAGTTAACTTAGTGAGGGTCAACACGGGGAAGTATCGCACTACCACCTGCTCACACGCTATAACAAGGGAGGTAACACAGTTAACGAGGGATGTATCAATTTATTAATCTCTTTTTTTTAGACAAAAAATAGTAAATGTGCTGTATGTACCAGTGCTACATTTTGGTCACAAGCTTACCTAATTTCATCCTCAATACTCAAGGGGTTATACTCACTTTCGCTCTCTACACCCCTGGAATATGTCATAGCAAAACTGAAGGCAAACGGCTAGCTATATGATTGGTCTCGGGTTAAAGAACCCTGACCAATTGAAACTCATAAAAAATAAATAAAAAAATATAGTAGACATTTATTAACCCATAACTTACCAAGAGGGTCACAAGGGATGCCTTTGAAGATGATTCTGTAGTTTGTTAAGAAGATGGCCCCCTCGGCTGGCAGTAGACTGGGTCCCCCCATGTTGCTCCCCATGCCCTCCTCTCGACCGTCGGGGAGGAGGTACACCCTCAGACCGTCCATCACCACCTCTTCTCCTGGCAGTAAGGTTGGCTTCAGGATCTTTGGCTACAAATGTACAACATGAATTATCTTAGGCTTTGAACGTAAAATAAAATGATCTAAGGAGTGTAAATGTTTGGTAAGATATTGTATACGGGGAGATATTTTGCCCTTCAACAGTTAAATTCATTTCTGCCCAGTGTTCATTTCGCCCTCAAGTTTATTGTGCTGTTTACTTATATTCTCTGTAATGATAAATGCCCTCATTAGGGAAGGCGAAAAAGTCGAAAAATTCAATTGCAGTGAATTTCCCGCTACACAGAAGTGCAAGCCAATCTTAAAGATAAATCAGAACCAATCCTTGGCAAGTATATGCGTTTTTTCCTTTCTGTTATTACATATTTTCTAATTCAGATGAATATTGAGACATATCTTTATAGCAATGGTAGCCCATAGTGTGCTTCCCTGCCTACCTTCTGTATGGGCGGTAGACGCTTGCTCTCCCTGTGGACTGCCTCCAGTGTTTCAATATGCATGGCCACCACCCCTGAAGGAAAACACAATGTGTGAAAGTTTTCGTAATTGACAGCATTTCTACATGTTAATTCACTCAAGTGACATTTGTCATCTCACATCGTTTTAACGTCGAGAAAGATTTCTCGCATTTTGACCACCCAACTTCTTGGCCATCATTGTAATATCAGGCTATTATCCAGGTTTGTCATTTATTAGTATTGATATACCGTATAACAGGTCATTTACGTGGGCTTAGATTTTTGCGATTTTGACCCAAAACTAGAAAATTTGATTTACTCACATTATAATTTCCCATGTGAAGGACCTAAATTTTCATGGTGATTTAGCACACAGGCTGGACAATCAGCACATAAAGTGTCGAATACTTAAATAAATAGTCTTTATGACATCATATTGCGCGACAAAACGTAAGTGTATGTTGTTAAACAAAACATCAACAGAAATATTAGATATGATATAACCTAATTCACACATCATTACTCATTTGTATAGGAATCGCCACAACCACATGCACGCTATTCCCCGACGACATTACGATTATGTAGTTTATAATTGGGCTCACTTTTACACTTGTCATGATTATGATTCTGCAGATCATATTTTCGTTATCAAATTGTTGACCCACGAAAATATCCTGTTATACGGTATGTGATATTGCTAGTAGATCTGTTGTTTTTATAGAAGTAGATTGGTGTATTTACTACGTTGTAAGAGTTATTCACATGTGTTTTTTACTTGTAGTGATAGCAACTGAATTGTTTAGGATTTTTTTATATAGTAATGAGTACATATTGAAGTGTGAAGTTATCATTCATCTGTAAGGTTTTCTCCAGTTATTAAAATCTTTTAAGTAGGAAAGGCTTTTATTTATTGTTGTTATTTACTGCTTTTTGGGGGTTTTGTGATCATGGAATAAACTTGTAAGTAATTGTGAATATGTTGGTCATCATTCATACTAAGAAACCTACTTCAGATATAACGAATACTGCCTTTTCTTGAACTTAAAGCAACACTTCCTAATTTTTCATAAATCAAACATCATCATGGGTCATTTGCAAAAGTCTGGTTAACACAGTCCCCACAAGTCATATTGTTCCCCTATCCAGCCTTTTACTCCAGCCAATTATCATGACACCCTCAGAAGTCTCGACCTGGAATCATTGTAAATGTTTTATGAAGACAGTGTATACCTGGAATCATTTGGTGCAGAGCCTTGATGTGATCCTGAGTCACTCCGCTGTCGTTGCACACTTTGTCCACGAACCTGGTCACAAACCGCACCACTGTCGCTCCAACGTCCGAGATTTCTGTCTCATCGAAACCACTCTCAGCATCAATGCTGTCACTCTCTGCCAGACTGAAATGTAGAGTTGGATTTATTAAAAGTTGTTGCTTGACTAAATAGATGCAGTTCGACTATAACTTTTCGAAGAGTCAGGAAAATTCAGCAAATGAATCTCCTTAGTCAATCTTCTTTTCTGACATTCTACTGGGGATGGACTTATAAACTGATCAGTTTTTAATACCAGGCAGGCCACCTGATCAGAAACACCATCTTTTTCAAGAAATCACCTGTCTAATATGATCACCTATACAATATGGCTACCTGTCCAATATGGCTCCCTGTCAGATAGACCCTTGTCTAATATAACTACCTGTCCAATATGGCTTCCTGTCAGAATGAACTCTGTTTAATATGACTACCTGTCCAATATGGCTACCTGTAAGATAGACCCCTGTCTAATATGACCACATAAATGCAGAACTAACCTGGCAGTGATGTTACTGTTACTGTTGCTCTCCCAGTCGTGCGGCGAGATGGTTTTGATGGGTTTGGTTGTCTCCAGGGGCACCCTCATGTACACCATTCTGTTGCTATAGTGGATTGCCTGGCTGTACACCGTCGACTCCTCATTGTTCGTCATCTCAAGCTGCTGCTCGGAGCTGAGATTGGGCCAAACCCGTAACTGTAATACACACACACACAAAATTAGTTGGTCTGTTACAACAAAACTGACAATATTTCGAGCTATTGTGTATTGATTCAGCCCAACAGAAACAAGTTACTTATTGCTACTTCATCAAATTATTACCAGATATACTCACCTTTAGATATTACTTGTGTATTGTGATCGAACAAATATTTTCAAAATAACAGTTTAAAAACCAGAAGACAACAACTATAATTTAAGAAACATATTTGCTGAATTGCTATAAATTGAGGTTAGAACACTCTCTGCAGCATCAGAATTTTCAACTTGAGTTGAACACTCATCAGCGACATAACAAACAACTCCATTAGTTTGAACACTGTGTCGTCAGCAACATAATTCACAACTCCAGTAGTTTGAACACTGTGGTGTCAGCAACATAATTCACAACTCCATTAGTTTGAACACTGTGTCGTCAGCAACATAATTCACAACTCCATTAGTTTGAACACTGTATTGTCAGCAGCATAACAAACAACTCCAGTAGTTTGAACACTGTGTCGTCAGCAACATAATTCACAACTCCATTAGTTTGAACACTGTGTCGTCAGCGACATAATTCACAACTNGACATAACAAACAACTCCATTAGTTTAAACAATGTGTCGTCAGCAACATAATTCACAACTCCAGTAGTTTGAACACTGTGTCGTCAGCAACATTATTCACAACTCCATTAGTTTGAACACTGTGTCGTCAGCGACATAACAAACAACTCCATAAGTTTGAACACTGTGTCGTCAGCAACATAATTCACAACTCCGGTAGTTTGAACACTGTGTCGTCAGCAACATAACAAACAACTCCAGTCGTTTGAACACTGTGACGTCAGTAACATAATTCACAACTCTATTAGTTTGAACACTGTGTCGTCAGCAACATAACAAACAACTCCAGTAGTTTGAACACTGTGACGTCAGTAACATAATTCACAACTCTATTAGTTTGAACACTGTGTCGTCAGCGACATAATTCACAACTCCAGTAGTTTGAACACTGTGTCATCAGCAACATAACAAACAACTCCATTATTTTGAACACTGTGTCGTCAGCAACATAATTCACAACTCCAGTAGTTTGAACACTGTGTCGTTAGCAACATAACAAACAACTCCAGTAGTTTGAACACTGTGTCATCAGCAACATAACAAACAACTCCATTAGTTTGAACACTGTGTCGTCAGCAACATAATTCACAACTCCAGTAGAACTCTCTCTAATCAGCAACACATAACAAACAGTATGAGTTGTTAGACCACTCTCTCATCAGCAACATAATTTCAACACGTCAGCTCGTTAAAGTACCAGCAATGATTAGGATTAGACTGTGTCCTTACCTTAAACATGTACATGATTTAAAGTAAGTCAAATCATCAGCTGTAACATACACAGAACAAACTAAGACAGATCCCTGTGTCCTTACACAAGTCAAATAGTCAGCTTATATTTATTTTAACACTTAAGGATCCTCGTACCACTGCCAAAAACTGAAACGAAGTATTGGAAACTGTTTTATCTGGCATGTCTTAGCTTTGACGAATCATTTCTGTAATGAAACCATACCTTACAGGACTTTTATGAGAAATAATAAAGATGAAAATACAGTAAAACCCCACTTCCTCATACTCGGTTAACTTGAATACACCTCATTCATCGAGTCATTGGTCCTGACCCGAGTTCGTACATATTCTTTATCAAGTAACCCCGAATTAGTCAAATTATTCCTCGAATACCCCGTATTCCTCAAACAAAAATGTGTCCACGACTCTTCATGGTCATAGTATCAATCCTATCTGTTCGTAGCACAGGTGTGACATGTCACGCCTGACAGATATTTTACCTGTGTGTCACATTTACTGGTACTACGAAAAGGCCTCGGGCTTATAATTAGAGTCTACTGGTATCGATCGCAATACGGCATGTTGATACAGGGTAAGGACGTCGGGTAATTATAGTATTAACAGTAGTATCTTTACATACTTGTCGCAGTATAATATTTGTTTTATATTCTCATGTCTAATTTTTTAGCGAAAATGTTTCACATAAAACACTTTTTTTATATCAGAAATATTTTCACCAGGGCTAGACCGGGATTCGAACCCTTGACTTCCGATTGACATACTATCACTCTAACCGATTGCACAATGTGGTCAACAGATGTGTCTTTGCTCAACTGTGCTACAGTTTTATCCAAACGGAAGTTAAGGGGAAGTAACTGCATACAGAATAAAACACAGTGCAGTGGGACAGGGATCCTTAAAACAGGCTAGGCCACAACTCCTATGTAACTGCAGTCAAACTTAGATACTTCTGACTTGAACGTCACTAAGTACACTGTCCCATGATCATTTAGGCCAAATAACATTCACCTTTAAATTTATATGGCATTTCATTTAATTTGCTCTGTTTTTGGAAAAAAATAATGCAGCAGGTACTGAGGTGCCTGTTACACTGAAGATTTCTTTAATTTGGTCCGAGAAACTAAGGTTCCTTTAATTTGGTCCGAGAAACTAAGGTTCCTTTAATTTTGCCTGTTAAACTGGAGACTCCTCTAATTTTTCCTGTTAAACTGGATATTCCTCTAATTTGGCCTGTTAATTCTCTAATTTGATTGACCCAAATAATAAAAGTCACACAAAAGTTTGCAACAGCAGGTTCATTCACCTGTTCAGCAGCAATTTCCAGCGCCCCTATCTGTCTGGGTTTGAAGCTCGACAGCCGTCGCTGTGCATCTGGTGTTGTAGACGAGCCACGGTAGGAGGGCACATTCAATTCATCTTCCTGAAAGAAAGTGATTAAACGTAACCATTCAGCCATTAAAGTTAACTATCGAGTCCCTTTGTGTCGACAAGAGGAGGGTTGTAAGGGGTACACAATCATAAGATGGAATATGGGACAGGTCCCACTCAAAGATGTAATGTAATGCTTTAGTATACCGGGACATTTTCGCTGCATTTAATTTTCGCCTTTTTTTTGCACTCCGTGGTAAGGGCAAATTTGTCATTACAGTGCATAAAAGCATCAACACACATTCACACAAATCGACTATTGAAATGATCCTCATCCTCATCCTCATCCTCATCATCCTCCTCCTCATCCTCATCATCAGTTGATAAAGGTTAACAACATGTTATACATAGTGATGAAATATGAAGGGCAAAGTTTACACTAGGCGAAAATTGATTTCATGGGGGAAGGATGAAACTTTCACTTGGCCAAAAATTTCCCGGTATACTTTACTGTTCTGTACTGAGGTTGGTAGGGTGTTATATTATATCAAATATTCAACTTTACAACAATTAATATTATTAAACCATTTTTATCAACTACCTGGTAATATTTATCATTCTTGATGACTCAAATGGAATCAGAGCAGGTCTGAATGTGGGAGGAAACTAGAGTACGCTGAAAAGCCATGTGGTTGGCCAAGTGACCCATATACTATTCATGTCAAATCAGGGAATCAAATCGTGGCTGCCTCGACAAAAATGCAAGTGCTTTATCCACTGCTCCAACCGACCACCCAATGTTTCTTGGTTTCAGGGTTTACGTCTTTGTTAAAGCTAAGTTCATATGATGGCAGTGTCAACAGATCATACGACCATTTTAACATGTCACCACAGTAAAATGGTACTGGGGAGGTGTAGTGGGGTACCTACGTTTCTGTACTGTGGAGGGCTATAAGAACTGTCACGTTTCTTCTCCATGATCATGTGTTCCTCATACTGGGGTAGGTACAGCTGTTTGATCTGTTTCTGGACGTCCTGATAGAACGACGCCTCCCAGAACTGTTGGTTGGTCCACACTGGGTGCTCCTGCACTAGGGTGTAGGCAAACTGGATCACACCTGTACACAGTTTCTGTAGCAGCAAAGGAAATTGTCGAAATCATTGGACAGTGAAATTCGTAATATGCCTGACACTGGTGAAAATAGGGCATATTGAGAAAAAAATACCTGTTTTCATGTATCTGTTTTAATATTGTCTAGATCTCTCATATGTAATATTAAAATTACATCAATTCGAACGAAATGTCAAATGGATCATTGTCTCAAAATTTAGAGACAGAAAAACAGACTTGCTATACATTGGTAGTTTAAAACGGGTTAAACATCTGCTGGTATATTGTATGTTGTATGTTGTTTGAAGTCAATGTTTAGTATACAATATATTGTTTGAAGTCAATATTTATTATATAATATATGGTTTGAAGTCAATATTTAGTATATAATATATAGTTTGAAGTCAATATTTAGTATATAATATATTGTTTGAAGTCAATATTTAATTGTTTGAAGTCAATATTTAGTATATAATATATTGTTTGAAGTCAATATTTATTATATAATATATTGTTTGAAGTCAATATTTATTATATAATATATGGTTTGAAGTCAATATTTAGTATATAATATATAGTTTGAAGTCAATATTTAGTATATAATATATTGTTTGAAGTCAATATTTAATTGTTTGAAGTCAATATTTAGTATATAATATATTGTTTGAAGTCAATATTTATTATATAATATATTGTTTGAAGTCAATATTTATTATATAATATATGGTTTGAAGTCAATATTTAGTATATAATATATGGTTTCATAATTGGTATCTTTTGAGTAACATATTAGATTGATTGAAAAGGATGTATTCTGTTGCGCTGTAAATTCCCCCCACATTTTGCTTTATCATAACTGGGCTTCTGTATACCACTAGATATCCTCCTGAACTAAGATGAACGTAAACATTCCTTGACACTTACGGGATGTTGGTTCTTTACCTAAACATTATTTGTTGATATTGTAAAGCACTATATGATTGGTACCTACCCGACAGAAGGATGTGGCAAGGGGAAGAATGGCTGCTGCTATCCCATTCTCATCCATACTGGAGTCATTCTAGAGTCCAAAAATAATCAGTTTCAATACATGTATAATCAGGCCAAATTAATTCTTTGTACTTTAATTTTAATGTTTGTACAGTACATTCCATTAATACTCCTTGTAATTTGTCAGAGAAAAATGTGATATCAAGTGAAACATGACATTAAAAGATGTGTTTTCTCATATTTCTCATATTTCATATATTTCTCATATTTCATATATTTCTCATATTTCTCATATTTCTCATATTTCATATGTTTCTCATATTTCATATATTTCTCATATTTCTCATATTTCATATATTTCTCATATTTCATATATTTCCCATATTTCCCACACAGACCATACCTGTAGAGCACAGTTGAGGAGTTTTACGACTAGATCAAACTGTTGATGCTCCAGCATGGCCCTGTTACTGCGTATGTGGTAACTGAGTTCCTGTGTTAGACTTAGCCGCGCCACTTTACTCTTCAGGGCCCGCAGCACTGCCGGGAATATCTGTACAAAACAAACTAAACTGTCACAGAGCTTACAACACTTCTTCAATTTGAACAAATTTCTTTATGTCCAGTTTTTAGAAAACAACACTAAATTTCTGATTTCTGAATTTCAGTCAACCAAAATACTGTATACAGGGAAATTTTCGCTGCAGTTAATTTTTTCCCTTTTTTGCCATCTATAATGAGGGCGAATTGATCAACGAACATTTGTAAACAACCTTAAATGCCTAGTAATTAAATGTGAAGGGTGAATTCAATACTGAACGAAAATGAATTTTACCGTTGAATGGGAAAAAAATGAAATGGGCGAAAATTTGCCAGTATGCAGTACTTTTACGTATGTAGATAATATTTTGATTTATCTTTTTCCCTCCGAAAAAATTCAGGTTCAGTGTTGTGTAGTGTAAATGTAAATTTGGTTGATATTACAGCTTCTAACACAAATTAGTGTTGTAATGTAAAATATCACATACTTTTTATGAATATGAAACATTAAAACCAATACGACAAGAAAAAGAGTTATTTCTCTGATCAAATCCGCTTACAATTCTTGCATCCGTGATTTTGTTTTCAAAGATAAATGTGACACAATTTCGTAGGACCTCCAGACGGCGGGCATTATTATCCACGATTCTGAATCGGTCGGTGATGAGCGTAATTGTAGGACCAATCGGCACGATTCTCAGCTGTGGCGGCCGTAGGTTATTGAACCTGTGTAATGTGGAAAAACATTAATTACAGCTCAGGTTGGGTGGGTGGGGGTATTGAACATGTGTTACTGGGAATAACATCAACTACAGCTGTAGTAGGGAGGGGTGGGTGGGGGTATTAAACCTGAGTACATAAGGAGTAAGGTCTTAATTTATTCCAGATATATATGTAATAAGCACCTGTACATTAGAAACATATACAATGGTACAGATAGTGTAATGTCATGTTATCCCAGTAATAAACCTATAAATGAAGTAACCAAAACAAAACTCTTTTCACAATAGACAAAACACTGAAATCACTAAATGACACACTTCGTGGTAGGAGAAACTGACTGAGATGTGTGATAAATGAATTAAGCCGATACATACTTGGTCTTGACCGGTTGTTTGTGCACGCCTTCATCCACGATCTTCTGTATGTGTACCCAGTCAAGGTACGGAAAAGGTGGCTGGTGGATACGTGAGTAGGCCCCCTCTGTGGGCTTCGGCACCTTCTGTACGTAGGGCTGCGGGTTGGGAGTCTCCTGTAACACAAGATACCAAACAATTTGAAGTCTTATTGTAGGATTTTTATGTTTAACAAGTTATTGTTAGGTGTTATTACCTCACTTTTTATTTCTTACAGATCACAACTCAGCATTAGTGCCTAGATTTATATTTCGCACTGGTAAATGCTCAGCTTTGTTGTCTAGATTTTATTTTTTTTAAATTCATTGCGAGGTGTAACTGCCTCAATTTTTATTTCTTACAGATCAAAGCTTGGCATTTGTACCTGGATTTCTATTTCATGCTAGTAAATGCTCAGCCTTATTGCCCAATTTTCTTATTTCTACTGGTCTATGCTCTGTGCTATTGCCTGGATTTTATTTCAAGCTAGTAATGCTAAGTATTATTGGATTACTGGATTTTGGTTTTGATAATGTAATCAACATAATCAGTAATTTGTATTTGAGTTTTATATTGTTTTATGGCCCATTAACTACTCAAGTCCTTTAATATAAGTTGAAGGCCAAACAAGAAAGAGCTAGAAATACAAATTTCAATTTTTTCAGCATCAATTTTTCTTTTCTTTTTCTCCATAGTACTGTTTGTGTGAAAAGACCCTGTAAGGGTCGTGACATTGTTTACATAATGTGTCCAGGTTTGACATCAAACAAGTGATATCAGACATTGAATTATATAGATTATATAGCAGGAAAAACTATGCATCATGAAAACCTGAAAATAACTGAAAAGTGACATTAAGTGACGTAATAATACGTGAAAAGTACTGTGTACTGACTGTGAACAAGCTTATTGCTTTCTTGTTTCTGTTGGCAAGGATTTGTCAAAACTTTTCACAAACTTTGCCTACATAGCAAACTTATTCTCCCTTACAAAATTTACTGTTGATTAAAACAGGTTTTCACGGTATCTGTATCTAAAACCAATGTTTACCAAAAAGAGTGAACTATTTCACACTTTGAAATAAGTTAACTCATTCACCCCTGAAGACACATTTGAACTCTTCCAATTCAAAGGTTGGAATAGTCCATGGTGAAGTTTCAGGGGTGAAAGAGTTAGAAACGTTCTTACGTTAGTATGGAGTTGTTTGGCGATCTCCCTGATGTTAATCATGGTTTTATCTGGGTCATTAGCTTCGTCCTTCAGCTGCTCCTGCAGCACGGCGTACACCTACCGGACAACAACAGCAAAGTAACAGCATTGATAACATTTCTACCAGAGATATATTTGAAAATATAAATAGGATAATAACTGAAAACTTCACTGCAGTTAAGATACACAAAATGTTGTATCTTCACATGTGATAAGGTCAAGTATCGATTTGATATTGATTTGTAAGAATGATATTTTCTATCTATTGCATTAAAAACTACAGGTTTTCTGTTCCACAACAGAGGGCTCATAGGCTTTGCCTGTTACCCAATCCCTTTGTATCAAAGATCTGAACAATAAATATTCTGAGATGAAAATATTTATAATTGTATTATATGGATGGAGAAATTCTAATACTTTGTTGTTATATGGAGTTAAGAAAACCAGTAAGAAATAGAGCATATCTCCAAAGTATCTGTCGTGACTGACCTCATCAAATATGTCACAGACTCGGTAGGGAGGCCCTCGCTCAGCTACAAAGCCTCCAAAGGCCATTGCGTCTAGCACACGCACGAGAAAGTCATCTTCCACCATTCCTTTGTGACCAAGGAAGTTTGCCTAAAACAAAACAAAAAATTCCAATTTAAATCAAGAATCCCTGTCCCACTTCACCGTGGTTTTTCCTGTATACAGTAACGTCCCCTTAACTCCTGTTTGGATATAACTGTAGTACAGTTAGGGCAGGACACTTTCGTTGACCAGGTTGCTTAGTCGGTCAGAGAAACAGTATTACAGTCTAAGGTCTAGGGTTCGAATCCCGGTCTAGCTCACCTAAACTTTTACATTCAGAACACTTTTTTTCATTACAATTTGTTTAATTCATCTTCATTATATTTTTTTTTTTATAAAAGTCCCATATGGTAATGTGTTTTCTTTTCAGAAGCTACAGTCATGGCAGAAAAAATGAGTTTCCAATATTTAACTACAGTTTTTGGCAGTGATACGAGGATCTTTAGTCATTCTTGGTGTCTTGGTGAGTGCACAATCCTCTGTGCCACCTGACCACTCAAATTTCACTTTTAGACAGAATACTGTTTACCAAGATTTTTTTGTACTGTCAAACTTTCCCCCTTCACTGGTAAAATTCATAATCGCCAAGTTTTAATTACTATGTATATTATGTTGCTTACTTATGTTCGCTATAACGATAAATTCGCCCTCATTACAGTGGATGAAAAAGGCTAAAAATGAAACCGCAGCGAAAAAAAATCCGTGTATACAGTAACTGGTTCCAATAAAACATCAATAATTAATCTACTTCTCTATAAATGCAGGGAATGCTTTGGGGACAGAATACATACTAGACTTCAGAAAGCAGCAAAACTAACAAATACTATTTTTAACATTACTATATTCACGGCAGAAATGTAAGCTTACCTTATGGAAGGTGATGAATGGTTCAGGGTGGATACGGATCAGCGCCAGACAAGTTCTGTATCCAGCGAAAACTTCAGCGAACATACGAATGAATATGGCACGGATTTCCTTGTCCTGAAATTGCACGACATATACATATAAATTTCGCCTATACATTACTTCACAGTCCATCACCTCTACATAGGAATGGGTTATTTTACAGCAGCCATGCAAGGAAAATGAATCCGAAGTTATTATACTTGTCAAGATTTCTACTTTATAATATGGGAAAAAAACCATATGGCAAAATCTCAAATTGTCTTAAAAGTTCTTACTTTGAACCTTGTTTGACAATATCATAGTGTAAAATACAAATTTTTACCTTACTGTAGCATTTTTTGAGACATTGAAAATGTGAATTGATCAAGGATGTACGGGGCAGGTATGAAACGCTATCAAAGCATGAGACTTGATCTCAAATGGCATAAGAACTTTTCATAATCAAATAGGCCCCTTTCGAACCGATGCTTATGTCAGGAATATTCGGCACGTGCATATTGAGGGGGTCCAGACGTGCCTGACTGAAACTAAAATGCTGACTAGTTTGCATAATTTCTTTATAACACAAGGTCAGTTAACCTGTATATTTTAGAATATGTTATATGATTTAATGGACGCATGAAAGAAAGACTGCACCACTTGAACCGTTTAACTCATTCACCCCTGAACTTTCATAATGAACTATTCCATCCTTTGAATTGGAAGAGTTCAAATGTGTCTTCAGGGGTGAATGAGTTAAACTGGGATACTTAATGTGACCCATGCTACAAAGCATGAACTCTTGCAAAGAATATTCCAGCTATTTCTGATCCCCATATGAAACATCATAAAAATATTCAAAAACATTGGTAGAGGGATATAGAGAGTTAATTACTCACCTTCTGTTCAAGTGAGATAGGTTTCTTAGGAGGCGGTGCTGGAAATGCATGGTCAGCAGCAAGTAGATCGGGGTTCAAGACCTGTTATTTAAAGAAACAATATCACTGATGAACAGCTGTTGTTTAAGAAGTCATTACTGTTCCAGGACAGTTTCCAAACTTTGTATCTATAGGTGAAGTACAAATATGTTTCTGGAGATTTTATAACCATTGACTTCATGAAACATAATGGTCAGTATAATTGGGATTATACGAAAACATGTTTATGTTTAACGAATCTCAATCTGTATAAAAAAACAAAGTTGTTATATTCTACCGTAAATATTCACATAAAGTACACACTTTATTAGGAGAAAATGATAATATCAAGAAACGGGTGCACACTATACACAGGAACAATCCAAAACCAGTATAGTGTAGCATCCATTTATCATAAATTTGTTATGGATTTTCGGAAATGTTTTGAAAAATACTCCCAAAAATTAACTCATATAATTTAAATAATAATTCCTGATTGCATTTAGCTATTTCCCCATTACAAAAAGTTGTAATTTGAAGTCACATAACACAATAAAATCAGATAAATATACAGTACTGACAGAACAGTAGGTCCAATTTTCTCTGGGTGATTTTGTGAATTAATGAAAACAGGGATTGGGAAAATATACCAACAAGTAGAATGGTTAACATGATGAAGATGTTGTGAGCGTTTTTATTGATCAATACATTATCATCCCTGATCTGTAAGTTAACTGGACGAGACGAGATGTCTATACATCTCCTCTCGTCTCTCCTCTCACTCCAGTGATTTAATTAAGGCGAGTTTGGGGCTGTTTACCCTGTATAATTTATGCTGTGTTTCCCCAAAATCAATGCAAAAATGGATTTATTTTTACCAAAACCATGCTTTCTGTATGTGGACTTTTCCAAAAGTCACATGGCACAGGGCCCTTCGGAAATGAGATATAGTACTGCAAGGCGGAACAATATATGCCCGTCCTATGCCTGGCATACTTAAAAACCAAAGAAACAACATTTCTATAACATTAGTCTTTGAGGTTGAAGAACTATTTCCGAACTATTTTCATACCATAATACGTCCCGTTGAGATTACTGATGGGCGTATATAAATCCCTGTACTATACTCTGACCACTCATTATGGCGCTTACCAAGCCTATCACTACTCTTCTTCATTCTTCTTCTAACCTTCTCAGATCGCTCCTCTCATTCTTCTTTTCATCTCTGTTCTCACACTTAATGAAACTTCTCAGATCTTTCCTCTCATTTTCCACCTCTAACCTCTCCTCACACCACTAACAGATCTATAGCAGAAGCTCTTACCATCTTTAGGCTTTTCTTTGTCCTTGTGAGTATTGGTTCAGGAATCATAGGCGTGTTTACACATTCAGGAATAAATATACTTCCTCCGTCTAAGTCTACAACGATTACATCTAGCTGAAAACAGAAATAAATCGAGTTCAAAGACAGAAGAAAAAGAAAACATCAAGTGATAATCCCGGACGATTAGTTTACAATTCCCTGTAAGCATCATCTAACCAATCTTGTACCGACAAATGGAATATTTAAAACACTCAAGGCAGATAACTCTGTCAATCTTGAAGAGAATAGCTTAAGGTAAAAAATTCAGTGGACCGGGGCTTGACCAGGATTCAAACCCCAGCCCTGAGATTGTTATACTATCGCCCTAACCAACTGAGCTACCTGGTCGACACAAGTATCCAGGCCCAACTATGCTACAGTTTATATGCAAAATAGGATTAAGGGGAGGTAATTACAGTATTTATGAAAAACGCTATTAACGCAGTGAGACAGGGATCCTTTACACATTGAAACCATAAAACTGTAATAGGGCTAACATTTCAATATTACAGCTAGTGGAACAAAAATTGTCTTACATGTACGGACATGAACAGTTTCCATTCGTATTATGATCTAATGTAATTTAGTATTTTAATATATCTGTATTGAATAATCTGCCATGTAAGCAAAGAACACAAATGCTTAACTGATATAAATGAATTATGTTTCACATGACACTTAAATTTATAAATAAATTTGTTTGCTAATCATCTGGATAGTAGTATAATGTCACAAATACGTTTTCCCTTTCACATGCATAACTGCCAACTCTCACTATTTAGGAGGGAGACCCACAATTTTGGGCCCTCAAATGTAGCATTTTCAACCAGTGAATTTGCTTATCTATTCCTATTTTCAAAGATTTGATGATTTCATCTGAAAGAACAGCTCAAAAAATGCCATTTAAAAGTGTTATTTTTTTCTCGGGTGTATATATATATACTCATTTTATTTATGCTTTTAATTATGAGAACGTGTTATCTCCCCCATGGAAAATTAAAAAAGTTATGCACATGGAATTAAGTCTGTCATCATGCTTACGAAGATTTGATACTTACGAGATCATAGGTATCGTCCATGAGGGCAGAATGGATACCAGCCAGGAATGGGGTTGGAGTGTTGAGCACTTCTATCAATGGTGCAGGTAGGATAGGGATATATACATAGCTGTAACAGATATATAGTCTTCAGGTCAGTAACGCAACCTATCAGGTAGGATAGCGGTATATACATAGCTGTAACAGCTATAAAGTCCTCAGGTCAGTAAGGTAACCTATCAGGTAGGATAGATATATATACATAGCTGTAACAGCTATAAAGTCCTCAGGTCAGTAAGTCAACCTATCAGGTAGGATATGGATAGATACATAGCTGTAACAGAACGTCCTCAGGTCAGTAAGGGAGCCTATCAGGTAGGATAGGGGTATATACATAGCTGTAACAAAAAGACCTCAGGTCAGTAAGGCAACCCATCAGGTAGGATAGGGATAAATACATAGCTGTAACAGAACGTCCTCAGGTCAGTAAGGGAACCTATCAGGTAGGATAGCGGTATATACATAGCTGTAACAAAAAGACCTCAGGTCAGTAAGGGAACCTATCAGGTAGGATAGGGGTATATACATAGCTGTTAAAGAAAGACCTCAGGTCAGTAAGGGAACCTATCAGGTAGGATAGATATATATACATAGCTGTAACAGAGAGTCCTCAGGTCAGTAAGGAAACCCATCAGGTAGGATAGGGATAAATACATAGCTGTAACAGAACGTCCTCAGGTCAGTAAGGGAACCTATCAGGTAGGATAGGGAGATATACATAGCTGTAACAGAGAGTCCTCAGGTCAGTAAGGAAACCTATCAGGTAGGATAGGGACATATACATAGCTGTAACAGATATGCAGTCCTCAGGTCAGTAAGGGAGCCTATCAGGTAGGATAGGGACATATACATAGCTGTAACAGCTATAAAGTCCTCAGGTCAGTAATGCAACCTATCAGGTAGGATTGGGATATATACATAGCTGTAGTCCTCAGGTCAGTAAGGAAACCCATCAGGTAGGATAGGGATATTTACATAGCTGTAACAGAAAGACCTCAGGTCAGTAAGGCAACCCATCAGGTAGGATAGGGATATAAACATAGCTGTAACAGAAAGACCTCAGGTCAGTAAGGGAACCTATCAGGTAGGATAGCGGTATATACATAGCTGTAACAAAAAGACCTCAGGTCAGTAAGGCAAACTATCAGGTAGGATAGGGATCTATACATAGCTGTAACAGATATGAAGTCCTAAGGTCAGTAAGTCAACCTATCAGGTAGGATAGGTATATATAAATAGCTGTAACAGAAAGTCGTCAGGTCAGTAATTATAAGTTGCCTTATAATTACTGACCTGACGACTTTCTGTTACAGCTATTTATATATCCCTATCCTACCTGCACCATTGATAGAGGGATATATACATAGCTGTAACAGAAAGTCTTCAGGTCAGTAATTATAAGGCAACTTATCAGTTCATTTCAGGTTGCTGAACATTTTTCAAAATATTGAAATTAAAAAAAGAAAAATTCTCTGTGAAAGTATTAAGTACTTCTGAGGAAGGTCATTATTTTTTTACCTGTATTTGAAGGGATAAAATAGCACAGTGAGGGCTCGACAGGCGTCAGTCAGACGAGTGTTACTCTGTGAATGAAACAATATCTTGTGGTCCGTCAATGCTGCACAGAAAAGCACCAAGGTATTCTGTATACCTGAAAGAGAAAAACAAAGGAATCACACATCTCTTCCGCATTAAAGCCACTCAGGCCTGTGTGAAGTATAACATATAGATAGATAGAAACTTAACGTCAAACATTGGCTTTTGTGAATATTTTGATATACATTTACTGTATACCGGGAAACTTTCGCCAAGACAAATATTCGCCTTTTCAGATAAAATCCAAGTTTGCCCAGAGTTAATTACGCACTATTCTCAGGTTATTACTATATATTGAAGGTTGTGTACTATCATTCGCTCTCATGATAAATTCACTCTAATTGGGGAGGGCGTAAAAGGCGAAAGTTATACTGCAGCGAAAATTTTACCGGTATACAGTATCAACATTATACAGTTAAACCTGTATACAGAGACCACCTATATGGGAAGTCCTTAAAATGGTCTCTTAACTCATTAACCCCTGAAATTTCATAATGAACTACTCCAACTTTTGAATTGGAAGGGTTCAAATGTGTCTTCAGGGGTGAATGAGTTAAAGCAGATGGTCTGTCAATACAGGTTCAATGGATATGGAAATAACTTGCAACAGTGAGTTTTAAAAGAGGTTTCTCGGGCAAGTTTGTCAATAAATGTAAGTAAAAATGACAGCCATGATCAGGAAATGTGATACTTACCCAGCTGTTTGAAGAGAAGGGCCACCGTGTAACAAGATACAGGGATGCCTGCACTGAGAGGTGGCTGTAATGCCTGGCGATCCCCAGCACCGATCGAGAACCTTACCTGAGGTCCGCCTACAAACATAACATGTACACAGTGCTCAGTTTCATGTTGTCCTCATATCATAATTGAAACAAAGAATTTACACAGGGGACCTCAAATATAAAGTTAGTGCAATACAGAGGTTTACAAACTACATTATCGGACACATACAGACAGCAAAGTTTCTAGATTATCAAATTCAGATTATTCAAGTTTCGTTGAATTAATAATTAGTTACAGACATATAGAGGTATAAGTGAATTAAAAAGTAAGTTGATACAACTCCAAGAGTCAGTTTTTAAGTTAAATTCATATACATCATTGCATCAAATTCTGCTGGTAAGAAAACCCCGAGATTTCCAAATGACTTGCATACAAGTTTTGTCAATTTTAAAATGTCCATCTCTGGGAAGTTTGTCTCACCTACCAGTAACACTTACCAGTAGGATGTACCTGGATACATGTATCTACAGGTAGCACTTGTAGGCCATACCTGGATACATGGATCTACAGGTAGCACTTGTCGGCCATACCTGGATACATGTATCTACAGGTAACACTCACATAAATCTTCAAAGTAATATTTATCTATAGAAGGTGCCTGGATACATGTATTTACAAATAACACTTACCTGTAGACCATACCTGGATACATGTATCTACAGGTAACACTGGCCTGAAGGCCATACCTGAGTGCATGTATCTACAGGTAAAACGTACCTATAAGAGGTACCTTGATACGTTTATATACAGGTTAAAGTAAAAGGAGGCACGGAAGTCTAGTGGTACGACGCCGGGCTCGTGACCGACACAGCATTGTTTTGTATCTTTCAGCAAGATACTTTACTCTGCTTGTTCCAGTCCAGTGTGGTTGGGCAGTGCTAGAATTGTAGAATACTAGCTGTGAGCGCCGAAATGGCAGCACCGACTATATACTCACCAGGGAGTTGAGAAAAATATTGGCTGGTTGCAAAGGCCCTATAACCACAGATAATAATTTGTGAACCGCTTTGAGACGACCTACCAACTAGGTTGTGATAAAGCGGTATATAAGAACCTTGAACTAGTATTATTATTAAAACTTACCTATAGGAGGTACCTGGATAGAGCCCAATATGTTGCCCACCAGGGACTCTAGTTGGTAGTCCAACTTGTCAACATATGTTGAATAAATTATTCCTAGGCAGTTCTGAAACAAACACACAACCTGATGAGCTAACAGTAGAAATTGAATTATTTATTTGTTAAAATATGTGTATATATATATATTAGGGTTGTCAGTAGTCAGCCAGTTAACAGGTAACTCGGTCAGAAAACTATGAACTGGTTACCAAAATCGGTAACTGAATATATAGTCGGACATTTATTTACCCCTTTGGGGAGCCCCATGTTCCCCTGCCTTCAGTTCAGGCTGACATATTAGTGTTGTTTTTGTAGTCTATTATAAAAATTGACAAAGAGATGCCACAAGCACCACAAAAAATTGGAAAGCTTTTAAAAGGAAGCCAGAATACAAAGTTGTGAAATATCAACTTTTAGAATTGTAGAACTCTCTTTTACATGTGAGATGTAAATATGACATGAAGAGTACACACTTGAACGATCAAGCATGTATTAAAATGATTGTCGATCATATTCTGTTATAGAATAATATTACCGCATATGATTTTGAGTACAGATAACTGTAATTGAATACTGTATTCTGACATTTGTTGTTCATGAAATATACTTACGGAGATTACATGAAACTATTTCCTGAGTTTAGCTTGAAATACTGATTATTTTCGGTATCAGTAACTCGATCGATGATTAAACTATCATGCTAATTAAAATATAAATATACATGTATGTATGTGGTGGTAAATACCTTCTAAATAAAACATTTGCTAAACATATGACATGTTGTCGCTGTTTATTGTTTGATTACCTATTTACCGATTATCCCGTTACTCGATCGGAAGATTGTTCAAGTAACCGGTTACTAAAATTTGACCGGTTTGACAACCCTAATATATATACCTCAGGTAAATCAATATTGAAAAAAAAAATTGGACTTCAGTTTCCCAATTTTGGTTCTGTATAATGCTTTAAATACTAATTTACTATTTTCTAGGGGGGGTTCTTACATTTTCTTACACAGAGTGCCATGCTCCAAATCTGGCAAAGTACAAAGGCATGAGCAGTAACAAGTACATTACCCAGAGATCAACACAAAGCACTGCTGTAAATAGTTTTTCAAATTTACCCTAGAATGTTTAATCAGTAGCTTAGAACCTGACTATTTAATCAGTAAAAAGGGGAGACTAATGGAGTTCAAATAAATGAGATTCTACATATTAACATGTTAACTGTAATCCTACCCTGAACACGTCAAAGTAGTCGAGTCGTGAAACAAGGACGAGGGACTTCGGGGCGAACATGAGAGAGCTGTGAACCCCCGAAGGCTCGTCCCCATCTGGGTCATCTCCCTTGGTACTGGTGATAGCGATTGTCTCGCTGAATGTCAGACATGTACAGTAGTGCCGATCTGCATCTATGTCCGTCAACACTGCCACGAAAAATTCTGGCGGCTCCCGGCGGCTTGATAGCCTCCATCCTACTGGCTGACAAAACTAAACAAAAGTAAAAAGAATTTATGTTGATATATATATATATATATATGTCAACAATACAATTTTTCAACCCTGTGTCCTGTTCCCTTCCCACCTATCAACGTGTACATATACTCCATGTTTGAGAATCCAAGGGTTTCAATTTCAACAAACATATCTTTCCTACACCAATGGAATATATCATGACAAAATACTAAGACAGGTTGTAAGCTATTTGATTGGTTATAGGTGGAAAAAAAACCTGACCAATCACTAGACTGAGTCCTGTCTTTTAAATACTACAGGGGAGAGACACCTAACCTCCAATTCCATTAATTTTACCATTATTCTGCCCCATGATTCTTTTAATGTACAGTAGAACCTTGTTATACTGCCATCATTTGGCCAGATAAATTTTGGCGTTATACATATAAAGGAATTCTTAAGAAAAACAAGAAAAATGCACATTGAAGTAAGGGGCATTATACTGAGGTTTTACTGTTCATCAAAGGATCTAACTTGTCTCATCTGGAAGGTGGCGAGTAAAGAGACCTAATAATTTTTTCATTACATATTCCAAGGTGTAGAGAAGAAATGGGTACTCAAAGTTCAACCTTAAATATTTCACTGTGTGTGCAAGTGTTGTTTGTAATGTGATGACAAGTTTTCATTCATAGACACCACGGACAATGCTGACGTTTTTTTTCTGGGTACTATTAGTGGCCATTGGTACTATATTCTTACAGTTTGGCTGTATCCGCACAAGTCAAGAATGGCTCACTTGTTTATATTTACGATCCATGATAAGTAACCAATCAGAAATGTTGTTACATCATCGACATTGAAGAGTATAAGATAATACATGGAGGCTCATGATCAGCAGTGTTTCTCTCGTTAATTAAGAATGAGGCCTTTTTGTCTCATTTTGGGAAGAAAATATACCAATTGGTTCGGATGGGGCATTTTTGGTTTTTTTGGGAAGAAAATATACCAATTGGTTGGGATGGGGCATTTTGTCTATTTTGAGAAGAAAATATACCAATTGGGAAACAAATTTTCAGGAGTAAACTGCAAGTTTTGGGAATTCAGCATAAATATGAAATAGTTTTAATTGGGAATCGGGGTCCATTATCGGCCCCTTATAGTCCCCAGAAACAACACTGGGCTGAATTACAAACAAAGTAGCATGTAGCCAGCAGAGGCTATAGCACTAACATGTTCTATTCCGTGTGTGAAAGGGCAGCTCTCCCAGTCTGTGTCCGGAAATCTCTGTATTATTTTTCCACAACTTGTGCCGCCCCCTAAAATAACAAAACCAGACATTTAAAAAAGACTCACATGCACAATGTATATATCCAGCCAAGTTCGTTTCAGAGTTAACATACACATGTAATAATACAGTGGTGATGGACACACCCATCGTGTAAATAATGAGAGCATATTGCTACTTAGTTTATATTACACTTGCCAAGTCTCCTTGTTTGGAGGTCAAGACTCGCGATTTTCCTTTTATTCTTAACTTTTGAAATCAACAGAATTCCTTCATCTTGCCTGTTTGTTCAAATTCAATTAAGTAACAACCTAGAGTAGTCTCAGTTTTGGTCAATCTGATTCAAATCATCTGTTACTTAGCTTCCTTTGTACTACGTCTGAATGTTTGGATGTTTGGATGATTTTAATCAGATTAAAGTTAAGGTGTTTTTCACCATTATTTTTTTTGTTAATATGGGTGTAGCGGCAATGACATTTTTTAATTTTTTTTTTAGATTGTGCCACATTAATTATTCCTAAAAAACAGCACTTCTATCTCATACCTGCCAAGTGACCCGATTTCGTCGTGTTACACCCCGGATTTTAGCCCTTCACCCGCTAGGTTACGATTTTGACCCGGATTCCGTCAATTTCATCCGTTTTCACCCGGAATCTTTTCGTATATTAGAAGTTAATGAAGTCACTCGGAATTCTCTAGACTTTTCCATCCTTCTTCACAAGAAAGACGATCTATTTCCTGTTTCCGTTTCTCACCAACAGGTAAGTTGTGAGTTGTTTATATACGTACTAGAACTGTTTTTACAAATGTTTATATGAAGAACGTTGTTACTGAACTTACCGACAAGAGATTAGTCAGGTGTTTTAACGAATAATTGAGTTGTTTTTACAATTGTATTTACGTAGAATAGATCGTATTTTGAAGGTAACGTTATGTCTTCTTGAAGGAAGAAGTCGTTATCGTGACTTGCAGGTTCTACTACACGAAATGCTAAAAGAAAAGATAATTGTGCACATATCAAATGTCGTAGGAAAATGAGTTATAGTGTATAAAGTCCAGCGGTCGTGGACCAAACGCTGTATTTGCACTCTAGTCAAAAACATGCACAGGCATTTGATGATTTGTTTCTGTCAATCAAAATCCTAACAATAAGAGTTCAAACCCTACTCGTATAAAACTGATATTTTATATGAGAAGGGGTGCAACTTCTTATTGTCAGGACCATTTTCATTGACAGAAACAAAACGGTATTTTATATGAGCAGAATTTGACATCTTACTGTCAGGACCATTTCAATTGACATAAAAAATGCCTGTGAAAACACAGTATCATATATATTAATATGAATTAGTTTTATAAGTTGTATTGTTGACATTTTTTTTTATTTTTCAGCTTTGAATTTGGTATTGTGGATGATCATGAGGATCGGCTAGATCTGCTGGAAGAACAGTTCAATGAATGGAGAATGTAACTTTTACAACATTAAAATATCTAAGTTATAATTAAATGTCTATTTTTCTTATTTGTTGCGAAAAAAGCCGTCGTGCGCTATGACCCTCTTTTTTATTTTCAAAAGAGGGTCATCACCCTCTTTTAGTATATCTGGGGTTGGCAGGTATGTTATCTAGGGATTTCTTTAATGTCCATTGTCCGTCTTGTTAAAGGATAAATACAACATTTCATTTCAATAAAAATTAAAACAATCAAACACTTTAAAATTCAGGGATACATGAATACTTGAAAAATGATACTTTAGAATCATTTATTTTCGTAGATTTCACATACTAGCCTGTTTCAAGGACATTATATTTCGCTGATTTCTGATTTCCCCCTATCTATATCATACCAAATTTATGTTTTCGTGGGGATTTAATTTCGGGATTTTTGTTATCCACGAAATATGTGAAATTTTATGTCCCACGAAAATTTATGATTTTACAGTACAAACCTCAATTACGGTTTGGGCAATATCTCTTTCTCATGCATGTCATATGACCACATACCCTATTTATCCAGCAATAAGCCCATGCTTGGTAATAAGCCCACCCATATATGTTAGAAATACCAACAGAAGCTTTTTCATTGTCCTGTAATTTATATAAAATAAGCCCACCCCTCTACGCTCAGTCACAGAGATAATGTGTTAATACGGTATATATATCAAATATCAACATAAAAACCTGAACATTTTTGAAATATTTCATTTGGACACATGTATAAAATGTATATGCAAATATATTCATTCTAATTAAAGAGTATATACTGTAATAGCATTGTTTGTGGATATTGATGATACAGTATATATATACAGTACATATGATTTGCATTGTATAGAATAAAACGACTACAGGACATAACGGACAATGTCAAGTAATTAACCATATTGTTATAAGTGTACATGTTTCAAGTAGACAATTATAAGATGTCCGCGAATCCGAGGCACATCCTCTTGGGCTATCGGCAAAGCGTGCTTCATTATCTAGGTTGACACCGGTTTTTTTTGACAGCTCAAGCTTTCTGTCCTGAAACAATGCAGCTGATATACATATACAACAATGTGCTACGGTCACACCAAACATGTTTCGCGACTTTGTAGAATGTGGCACCGCCAGGCTGCATATACAATAGCCCTTGAGAAATAACTGTTAAAGCATGTTTTTAAGTACAGAGTTTTTAGTTCCACGATGACACGACCTGTGTTGTATACACGGACATATCCAGTTACCTTAAACCGTTATTGTAAACATCTGTATCACAACAATGCTGTTGTACTCTACAATTACAAACAATAGAGACTGTACAAGAACAAAAGGGTGCTCCATCTGCGCCAGCATTTCAGAAAACAATAGATACAGGTGTTGATATATGGGAGAACAATGGGAAAACAACCACAGCTACTGTCTTTATTCTGTTATTTTGCCCCAGGTTCAACAATGATCCTTCACTATAGGAAAATTCCTAAGAGTCTTCATACACCATAGACAAGTCGAACTGAACTTAAATAAAATGTCCTTAACTCTTTCATCCGTATGTAACTTTAGTAGACTCTACCATGCATTGATATGAATGAGCCCATTATGGTCTACATGAACAGTGGTAGAAGGCCTAGGGTTAATCTAAGTTTTTTCCTAAGCCCAAATGGGGTCTTCCCCGAACACCAACTCTGCTTAAAATCACATGTTTACATAGGTGGCCCGTTGTGATGATAGTGAGTTAATAGTCTATTGCAGAAATGGTGTACAGGTAAATTGCACAGGTAAATCAACTTCTAATCAGATGATCAAAAACTGCTAATAATTGCAAAATAATCATTAATATTTAGAACAGTTTTCAGAATCAGTCATATATTTATTATTATATTAGTTAAACTTGTATTTTCAGATTTGTGTGAATTCTCTTATAATTATTATCATATATTAGTTAAACTTGTACTTATTTTCAGGAATTGTGTTCAACTTGTGTGACTTCAGTTTGATATTATTATCTGTTACGTTTTAATACAAACACTTCCTCGGCTATCATACAGAATGTTTTTTTAACCCAACTTTGTAGACATAAAAAGGGTCTGTAGACAAGGGGATCCGGTATCATCTTACTTATTTCTTTTGGGAGTTGAAATATTAGCTATCATGGTAAAAAAAAACAACAATAAAAACTTTAGGGCATAAACATAAAAGGGCATAAACATAAATAACAAACACAGTTCGTTAAAGACACATCCGTTATTTTAAATGGCACAAAATCTTTATATGATATAAATATGCTAAAATATCAGGGTTAAAAGTAAATACTGAAAAAACTAAAATGGGGAACAACCAAATTTACCTTACTTGGGATTGATTTCTCTGTCAATTTAGAAGACATGGTTACTGTAAATTTCAACAAAATTAGTAGTATTATAGATGGCAAGTTACATCAATGGTCAAGAAGAATTTTAACACCTATAAGGAGAATATCTGTTCTTAAATCTCTTATCATTGCAAAAAATGAATCACCTGTTTATATCTCTCCCTTCTCCAAGTAAAGGCATAATTCAATCATTGAACTGGCAATCACCAATTAATAGAATAAAATGCTCAATAATTGTTCAAGACTATAGTGAGGGTGGACTCAAAATGATTGATTTAGAAAACTTTATATATGGACTTAAAACTAGCATTCAATGGGTCACTTTCAGGCTTCTTTCAAGAATACTTCCACTTAATCATTAATTGAAAATAATTGGAATCAAACAATGTGATTTATGTAATTTATGCCAAGAAAGCAAACAAACTATAGAACATCTTTTTTAACAGTGTCAAATAACAAATCACTTCTGGCAAGACATACGTAGATGGATATACTTAAAAACTGACCAAACATTCGAAATAAAGTAAGATTTTATACTTTTTGGCAAAACTTTTGAATTCCAAAAATCCATTCCAACTAAAATCATCATGATTCATGCAAAATTCTTCATCTACTTTAGTTCCAGAAAGGTTTACTGTTAATATTTATGTTTAATAATGGCTATCTTTTAGTGCTGTATTAAATGTGTACTACTGTTATATGTAGGAATAGAAACTGTATTTTATTGCTGACATTAGTATCAATGTGGCTTAAATTTGGGAATTTTGTTTTTCATATAATGTAATGTTCTTTATCTTTTTCATATAAAGTAAAAATTAATATTTAATAATGATTATTTTCTATTACTTAGTTCTGTGTTAAATGTGTATTACAGTTATATGTTGGAAATAAAAACTTTTTATCCATTTTATTATTGACTATAGTATCATATCTACAAAATGAGTTGACATTCTTAGTTGAAATAGGCTATAACTAAACTGCAAAGGATTTCCTATATAAACACCTTCCTTTCAATTCTCCAGAGTTGGTGTTCGGGGAATGAGCCTCCCAAATATGCTTAGCTTTTGATATATACACTAAATTAAGGAACATTTATCCATGATGCCTGAGGGTGTTACATCTGTTTGGGTTTACCTGCAGTGTGGGTGTGACCTTGGAACATATGTACAAATTTGAGGTAAA